ACTGACGATATATTTAACTTTACTAAATTGAAAATTTGATGAAAACTTTTTTTAAAAATGACACTTACTGCATATGAATAAAAGCTAACAATGATCATCAAATAATTTTGGAAAGTATGTAAGCCAACAATGTTTCTTTGTGACATTACTTTTCATTGCTTTACATCTCCATCATAAAGCCTACCGACACTCGGTTGATCTGGTAGAGGTCCATGATGTACAATGAAAATTGTTCAGAAATATTCATTTAGAAATCATGATACTGTATAGCATTTCAGTTCAATGATTGCTGTCATATTGTTATCAAACCAAACAGAATAGTATGTAGGCCAACACTGTTTCATCAATAGTATCATACATTACCTGTCATTGTGACCCGACATCTCCAACGTCAAGCCTTGGTTGATCTGGTAGAGGTCCATGGTCTACAATGAAAATAATTCAGAAATATTCATTTAGAAATCATGATACTGTCAGGGGCGTCGCTAGACCTTCTTCAGTGGGGGGGGGGGGGGGGGGGGGGGGGGTGTAGAGGCCAACGATTACCGACAAAACTAGCCACCAATTACCGACAAAATTAAATGTCCCAATATCTACAAATTTAACCCTATAAACCTGGGGTCAAAATCTAAATTGTTTTTTATATGAACCATCTATAGTACTTGTGTATGCGCAAATGGTCATTTTCCTCGACGACATAAATATAAGAATTATTTCGTCAACTAATTCGGTGGTCACATCCCGCCGTACTTGCAAGTGCGTGCTGTCTACGTGCAAAAACGTGTGCAAAATTTGGGTATCGGTACGTGGTGAGTACCGCCTCCGTACGGATTTGGGAGCACGCAGACACACCGTAGCACTTTTTAGGGAGGGGCGGTAGTGGGCAAGCGTATCATTTTTAATTGGGGGTGGGTGATACGCCTTAGAAAGCTTAGACGTTTCCTTAAATTATTAAGAAAATATGACAATTTATTGTACCATCCTCGACTGTTAATCCGTGTCTGAATTCAGTTTCTCCACCTTCCGCGGAAGCTTTGACGTTTCATTAAATGATGAGAAAAGCAGACGATTCGGTGTACTGTTCTCGACTCTTAATCCTTATCTGAATTCAGTTCTCCCCCTCCCGCGTGAAGCGCCAAAGTTTTGATGTTTCATTTAATTATTAGAGAAAGTAGATGATTCGTTGATATGCTCGACTCTTAATCCTTGTTTGAATGAAGTTTCCCCCGCTCGCGTGAAGCTTGGTAGTTTCGAAGTTTCATTAAATTATTAGAGAAAGAAGACGAATAGTTGGGCGTTTTTTACTCTTAATAAGCCCTAATTGTCTGAATTCAGTTTCCTCCTTTAACGCGAAGCGCGAAAGCTTTGACAGTTCCTTAAATTAATAGAGAAAGCATACGATTTGCTGTACCCGGCGTTTGCGACTCTTAATCCTTATCTGAATTCAGTTTTCCCCTCTCGCGCGAAGTGCGGAAGCTTAGACGTTCCCTTAAATTATTTGAGAAAACAGACGATTAGTTGTACCGTTTTCGACTCTTAATAAGCTCTATTTGTCTGAATTCAGTTTCCCACTCTCGCGCGAAGCGCGGAAGCTTTGACATTTCCTTAAAGACCGTCAATACTACTGGGCCAGAAGGGATTAGACCACACAGCGAGGTCACTGAGAGGTGGCTATTTCATTAACTCTCAACTAACATAAGAAAAAGAGGATCATGGGGGACCAACATGCACCGATTGGGGAAGTTTTCTATAAAGAGGGAGCAAGTAGCTACAGGTAGGACAGTGGGGCTTTACATTATTAAATAAAGCAGATAATTTGTTGTACCGTTCACGACTCTTAACCCTAATTTGTCTGAAATCAGTTTCCCTCCTCCTGCGCTTTCGCGCGGAAGTTTTGACGTTTCCTTAAATTATGAGAAAAGCAGACGATTCGTTGTACTATTCTCGACTCTTAATCCTTTTCTAAATTCGGTTGTCCCCCCTCCCGCGCAAATCGCGGAAGCCTAGATGTTTCTTTAAATTATTAGATAAAGAGGACGATTCGTTCTACCGTTCTCTACTCGTCTAAATTAAGTTTTCCCTCTCGCGCAAAGCGCAGAATTTTTGGCGTTTCATCAAAATATAGAGAAAGGAAGACGATTCGTTGTACTATTGCTGACTCTTTATCCTTGTTTGAATTTAGTTTCCCCAAAAATTTTAAACCTCTGATTTCTTTAGCTGATATTATAGGAAAGTGAAACTTCTAGAAAATACAAGTTTTGTAGTCGTAGTCACTCTCGAAGTCATCGCAGCGGATAAAAAGTCAGGGAAAAAAACTTGTAGCCGACCGACAATATAAACCTCACCGACTTCAAACTTCTGCATTGATATAGTACACGAGGATCGAGCAAGAATACCGACACAGCTGACCCGACACAGTAACATATTTACTTGTGTCTTTCTTGCTCCCTCGACGAGACGACTCCACCCAACAACCCCCTCTCTCTTTTACTCCCACTCCTCCTCTCTCAGGCTCTTACCTCCCCTCTCTCTCCTCTCTTTCACCCGCGTTTCTTTTGTTTCCCCCTTTTTTGTTTGTTTCTGTCTTCTCCTTCTTTTCTCTTTTTTCCTCTCCTCCCTCTTTTTCTTTTTTCTCTTTCTTTCTTTTATTTTTTCCCTTTCTTTCCTCTCTTTTCCTCTTCTTGTTTTTCTTTTCTTTCCCTCACTTTTTTCCCCTCCCACTTTTCTCTTTTTTCACGAGGGCAGCGCAATTTTACCGACAATATCCTGACAGATGGGGGGGGGGGGGGGGTGTCGCGTCCCCCCCCCCCCCTTTGGAGACACCCCTGGATACTGTATAGCATTTCAGTTCAATGATTGCTGTCATATTGTTATCAAACCAAACAGAATAGTATGTAGGCCAACACTGTTTCATCAATAGTATCATACATTACCTGTCATTCTGACACCGACACCGACATCTCAAACGTCAAGCCTTGGTTGATCTGGTATGCTGTCATCATCACTTTCCTCAGACTCATCATCTACTGACAGGACAACTCCCTCCCATCTCCTGCCTTTCCAAGACATGAAGACTTTTGTCCCTTTTATTGGAATACAGGGACATTGAATATATCTCCATACACTACCACGGTTTTTAGAGCCATCTTTTTTCCACTGAACCAGCAATTCTGTTGTTTGCTCCATGCTGCAGCCTACCTGTGCAAATCCTGACAAAGTGAGGGAAACAAAAGGGTTACATTAATTTTGACTGAAAGTAGATCTAATCCAACTTACAAGCTACTTTACAATTGACCGTCCCCAATACTTGTAGCGGAAAGTAGAAACGCAAGTTCTAGACATGCAACTATCATTTGAGATTGCCCTTGATTAAATTTGAACAAAGCCACTAAAAGACAAAGGTATCAAAATTCAAACCATTCTCCTTTCATATCTGTAGACTACTATCATTTTTGCAAATTTAATTTGAACAATAAAAAGTATTAGACCTCTAGAGTCTAGAATCTGCTTGCACTGTTGCAATTGGTATAATAATACCTGAATACGGTATACTACTAACAATCTGGCATTTATTTAACTAATTTTGTAGATCTACGCTAAGCATGCTTTCAAATTTCAATCCGTACCACTGTCTTTACAAATTGTTGTCTTGTCTCGTCTTTCCATGAGCGAAAAAAACAGTGAAATGATTATCACGGCACATATATCTATAGATTGACGACTACTCCTACATACTGTACATGTATCTTGATCTAACTGAACAACCTCACACAAACAACATCACATCCCGCACCCAACTCTACCGGAACTGACGTTTTCCCTCGGGACAGCTAGTAACTGCGTGGAACGCACTTTCGAAAATCACCCTTGACTTGGGGCTTGATGCTAGTTGCTAGACCTAGATCTACTTCATATTTGGAGGCCTTCAACTTCAAGGGAGCGCTTCCATTGCAACCCACTCCAGCAAAGCATAGAGTCAATGCCACTCAACATCCACCCCAGCACAGAGAGTCAATGATAATGCGTAATGACTCTACTTGCCCGTGATACCATATAAATCAATACATGGGGCAACGTATTAATTATCATCATTATACATCGCATTTTTACCCGATAAAATCAAAATATTCTAACGATCCTAATCATAATGTAATCAGTGTGACCAAATATATCAAATCTTCCAGATAATTTGACATTTACAACACGTTATTTAAAAGAAGAAGCAGTTATTTTGCTTACCACAGGCCTAGCAGACGTCAGCTTCGCGATAACGCCCTTCTGCTTTGATCAAAATTTACGCTCGCGCCTAATATGCAAAGGGCGTAGAGGGCTTACGCCCTTCTGCTTAGCGCGATATCTGACAGTTTGTGCTAACGCCCTTTTACTATTGTCGATTACGTAATCATTTACTTCGTTTTATGCCATCTCGATCACATCATTTGAAAGAGCTTTGAAAACTCTATTAAATGACATGAAATATCAAAAATCGATTTTTGACCTGAAATTCGAGCTAACGCCCTTCTGCCAGCCGTGCGACGAATTGTGCGAAACGTAAATGCAGTGTACGCTCGGTTTCTTCAGATGGTTCGCACTGTCAACTCGCCGCAAGCGGCTCGTTGCACAGAGCGGCACCAATCTAAAGAAACCTCGCGCGTACTGCATTCACCGCTATTGCACCCTGGGACGTGCGTTATTTGTATAATATACATTAATAAATAAATATTTGCATTGATTAATTTAATAATTAAGAAAAAAAAGACAAATACATGAATTATTGATGAATGAAAAGAAAACAATGAAACCGTGTATAGAATTCGGGACAAATAATTGTTGAAAGTAGGTTATTTTTTTAAATCCCGACGTTTAAAGCCTTCTCTGTCCCAGTGTTCTTCAAATCTATTGTTAAAACTCAATATTGTTCTTTCTCTCTCTTTATAATATATTCCTTTCTCTCTTATTCAATCTCTCTTTCTCTCTCTCTCTTTTCGACGACGCAATAGGCGATCGCGATAGACGATGAAGGAACCTCAAAGTCACGATCCGAACAGAACGGTCGGACGTCGACGTCGAGCAGCCGAGATCACCGTCGACCTCCGACATCGCAGGACATCAACCGCAGCCTTCAGTTGGACGCCATGCGCAAGGCCGGCGACGCCGACTGCGGGTTTCTCGAGGGGAAGGTGGAGACGGAAGAACCGGACTGTATGCAGGAGACACTGTGCTCGTACGCGCAGTCGATCAGGGAGAAGGTGTGCGTCTTCGGGTTCAACCCGTACTCCGTCGACAAGGTAGCGCGGGTCGCCTTCCCTCTGACGTTCTTCAGCCTCAACCTCGTCTACTGGCTCGTCTATCTCGTCTTCGATAACATCACCCTCGAAGATCTGATGAACAAAGAAACGTAACGCTGGTCGGTCCCGGGGAAGAACCTTTTGTACTGACACTTCTACCTGCGTGTTTCAATATCGATTTCATTGCATATATGAATTACGATGTGCTTAGAAGTATATTTATCGTTATTCCAATACTTACTACATGTAAGGGTTTTGACGCGCTTATTAATAATTATATACAATGCGACACTTATAGTATGTGTCTATTGATAGTTTGATTGTTTTCTAACGGGGCAAAATCAGATTGTCAGAATTGATTGGTTGGTTGCTTTTATTCATATATTCCATGCAAAATAACACATTGTTACAAACATTGTCATTTCTTAAGGTTATATTTGTATGAAAGAAAATAATCCTGAATCATAGTAATTAATAACATGAAATAAAGGTCTGTAAAACATGACATAAGGAAATGAAAAGTTAACCTACTTAAAAAGTTAGGCTTGTTGTGTGTAGGTCAACTGAAGTAGTTAATTGATTGCGATGTTCTTTTTGATAATATTTCGACACACAATATGCTTGATATTTAATCATTATATTGGTATAGTTCGCATATATATATAGTCAAAAGTAAGGGCTTTTGCGACCTGCACTAAAAATGTGTTCGGAGGAGGAGGGGGGGGGGGGGGAGGCTGAATTTTAACACACCTAGTTCAATGACCATTTTATGAATTAATTATATCTTTTAAATTTATATCATTTGGTATTGGTATCATTCCTGTATTAACTGCAAACCTGTGATATTCATTAACCCTAATAAGGCCGGGGGGGGGGGGGCATTATGCCCCCTCCACCTTCACGATTTTTCCGATTGCTCGGGAACGCATATGGATGGCGCCCCGCCGCTCGCTGACTTTTTTCTTTCGAGTCTTGCGCAACTTTTAAAAGAATTTTTTTGAAAATCGGACCTACAGTTAAAAGGTCACGTGATCTTTTGTCTTTGCATGTCAGCCCGAAAACCGCTCATTTTCGTGATTTGTGTACAAAACCTATTGAAAAGTCATTTTTCCTAAAAACAGATCAAACATGGGTTATTAGGTCTTGTTTGAAGTTTAGGTGGTTGTTTTTGGAGTCAAAATAGTTGAATTGTAGTAAGAAATGAAATAAAACAACAAAAACAATGAAATACATAAGTTTAAAAAACAATGAAATACATAAGAAATTATCAAAACAAGGGATAACATAAGGAATAAGCTGGTTCTTCCAAATTTTTTGTCGTATTATTATTCAGAATGGTCTAATGTGTATATGTAGTGGAAAGGAATGCTTAAATATGAATAATATATGATTTATGGGTAAAAATGTGATTTTTATGACTTTATTTGCATAAATTACTATAAACATGCAAATGAGTGAATTTTTCAAAAAATTGAAATTATCATATTATTCTATACACTTCACTTGACATGCGTGCAAATTTTCGCGGCGATCGGCCGCTTCGCGGCCGAGATCCTCAAATAGCCCGGCCTTTTTAGGGTTAAGAGTTGAAAAGAATTGAATCATAACCTTAATGTATACTAGAATTGTGCAGGTGAACATAAAATCAAGTCTACAAAAGTAATTAAATAAATCACACTCGATACTAAATTAGTTATTGCTCATAGATTGTCGCTTCCCCAGACATGTACGCATGGGGAAATATACTTTTGGACCGTGATAGATCTCAATCGGACAAATGGGTTCCAGTGTGGCATTCAAACAGAGGGCCTTTTCATTTTGGAATCAAACCAAGCTTATTTGATGTAAGACATGTACTTACGTCAAACTTTCCTACAGGGAAAAGAAAGAATGAAGTTGAGTATAACCTTTTCCTGCCGTAGAGTGCGCATTGGGGCTAATGAATTTATGACTTCATTGGATTTTCTGTGATACAATAATGAAAATTACTATAGTCTCTTTTTATTGAATTTATCTCATAAAAAAAACACACTTACAAAACGGTCACACATATTCTCAGGAATTAAAGCCCCACTGTCCTACTTGTAGCTACTTGCCCCCTCTATATAGAAAACTTCCCCAATCGGTGCCGGTTGGTCCCGCATGATCCTCTATTTCTTATTTGAGAGCTGAGTTGATGAGATAGCCACCTGTCAGTGACCTCGCTATGTGGTCTAATCCCTCCTAGCCAAACTAGTACTGACGGTCTTTAAATTCGAGTCAACTTCAATATTTTATTGTATTGCCTATTTACATTATACGTCTCTATGAAATTTCGCATTTTCGTAAGGTAGTGCGCAAGGCTAATTAGATTATTGGCATTGTCTTAGTTTATTTTCTTTTCAGTCTCTACGACCGTATTGATTGTGTTCTTCTTGAAATTAAATGTTTATTTAATGACTGATCAACACGTTTTAAAGAGTAAATCTACGGAGTCGCTTTCATTCACAATATAGTTTAGCACTTTCAAGTAATTAAGCCGTTTGATTAGCTTTCAATTAATTTGATTTACATGTATGTAATAATTGATCTCAGCTAATGTGCCAAAATATTTTTTGTATAAAATCATGATATCGCTTCCAAGGTGCAATCAGTTAAGGCGGAAATAATTTACTGATAATGATTTATAAAGTAATATCTTGATATACATTGTATACTCAGACGGGTACATTTTTGCTACATAAACTTCATGCTCATATTTTTGCCGGTTTTCATTCCCATTTCTTTTCTGTCTCCTCATTTCATTTTGTCTATCATGACTGTGCGCCCTCCCCCGCTTTCTTTCTCTCTGTTTACCTTCCTCCCTCTCTCTTTTTATGTCTCTCTCTCTCTCTCTCTCTCTCTGCCTGTCTCTGTTCAATTCAATTCAATTCAATTCATTTATTTTTCCTCTTCCAATCGTTTATATTTACAAGGATGGTACATTTTAACATATTTACATATTTATATACATATAGATCGATTTGCACAATACAATACATTAAAAAAAAACATGAAATTGAAAGGGAAGGACGGCCGACTAAAGAGCAGAGCTTGTAGGGTGTAAGCCCCCCTGTAAAAGTAATTATTATGAATTATTATTTTATAACAATAACAATAACTGATTCAGTAATACAAAAACAAATCACTTTTAAACGCAAAACATTGATAAATACTTACATGTTTATAAAAAGAAACAATCAAAGTTGCATAAAGTCACACTACAAATTATATTTGATTGGGGAATGCAATAGCCTAGTTTGCCCCCCCCTCTCTCTCTCTCTCTCTCTCTCTCTCTCTCTCTCTCTCCCATCCGCCTTTCTCTCTCTCTCTCTCTGCCTGTATCTGTTTGTCTGTCTGTCTCTCTTTCTGTCTATTTTGCTCCTTGGTTTCCTTCTCTCACCCCTCTCTCTCCTGTATGATAGGCCTTATAGTATTAAATAGAATTATGGCGATGACATCAATAAACGTTTTTCAAAAATTATATGTCGCGTCGGTTGAAGTGATATGTTACTGTTTACTAATGTTACTGTGTACTTTATATGTTTACTAATGAAACACGTTGCATTCTATATTTTACTTGGTTTAGGTATTTCCTAGTAAATATCTTAGGTGTTAATTGTATTTTTTTAGCAGTGCATTGAACGATTAGATGACGACGACGTACTTCAAGAGGGCAGCATACACGAAATAATAGTCTTTTTCAACGATTATATACAAGGTATATTGTAAAAACAAGTACCAATTTTCATATATCAAATGGGATTTCTTGTGTTTTTATTATATGGGTGTCATTTTGAAGAGAAAAACAACGATATAAAGCTGAATTTGATAAGCTACGATATTAAATGTATGATTTACGTATATTCCAAATATCACAATATTCTGATATTTTCTTCTCATGGTTTTTACTTAATATTATTTTAAGTATCTGTCACTAATGCCCTAATAAATTTTTTATACCAACTTTAAATAAAAGAGAATATAATTATGATCGAAAGCATGAATGTTGGAATGGATGGCATTACACTTTAGGTCTAAAGATATATATAAATGTTGTAACGAGCAAATAAGTCTCATAGGCAAAATATTGAATGAAATAGCTTTGGGGTTAGACAAAAAGGGAACGTTCAACAGAAGATAATTGTATTTTCCTGTGGTACAATGTATAGCAGGAAAATGTTGTATATGCGGATCCTTTTAATGATTACGTAATGGGAGTGGCGAGACGCCACGATCCCGCGAGGCGGGATGGTTTGAATAACTTAGGCAGGTGAAAGTTATTGCATTGAGAAGGAAAGGAATGCTCAGAAAGGCATAATAAAAAAGAGGGAAATGGGCGTGGTAGCCATTCTAGCTTTGTCAGACACTAGATACACGACACAAATTTCATGTGAAAATTTTAATAAAGAACAATAGTTTTGTGTTTGTTTTTGTAGGAGGTAGAGAGATTCAAATAGATTATTTTTATTGGGACGATTTGCCATTAGGTTTTTCCAAAGCATCTGCCTTTTTTCGTTTATCTCTGGTTTTTTCAACCTATGGAATCGGTCCGGTCGTGAGGCATAAAAGCAAAGCCCTATGCAGGTTACGGATCAAACCATTTAGAATTTAATATTATGCAAATGTTCTATACACCGTCAGTATATATTTAGGTGTGAACATTGACGATTGAGATTGAAATTATGCAATATTAAGAATATTTTCATTTAATATTTTTAAAATCAAGAATGAGTTTAAAAACTGAAATTATTTTGATGTTCAAAACCTTTATTAGATGGCATTTATATAACAAGATTGTTCAAGATTGTTCAAAAGATACAATTCGAATAAAAGCCGGCTTGGTCGGTTTGGCAGGCTTTCCCATAAAGTTTGATATTGATGTAATCTGTGAGTCATTATTAAACTGAGTAACGAAGGATGAGAATATACGACACAATGAAAGGAGAGGAAAAAATAGAAAGAAAACTGGAGAAAAAAGTGGACAGATGGGGGGGGGGGGGAGAGAGAGGGAGAGAGAGGGAGAGAGAGACAAACAGAGAGACAAACAAACATATAAAGACACACACAGAGAGGGAGATGAATAGAGATAGAAAGAAAGTTAGAGAGACAAACACAGAGAGAGACAGAAACAGAAAGAAAAGAGAGAGAGAGAGAGAGAGAGAGAGAAAGAGATAGAGAGAGAGAGAGAGAGAGAGAGAGAGATAGAGATAGAGAGTTGATTTCTTAATGCGTATTGTGTGTTTCTTGGGTTAAAGGGATCAAGAGAAAGCGTTTATAATGGGCTGGATTTAGAAAAAAGTAGATAGAGAAATATTATTTAGAAATATAGGGAGAACAATATTATATTGTATGACTGTAACAAAAAAACGAATGGTGTGTTTATCAAAAGGGTTAGCATGATCAATATAAAACAACTGCACTCACTTTATCTTCCCCATCTTTTTATCTTCGTGTACTTCACCTACCTCTAATTCTCTCTCTCTCTCTCTCTCTCTATCTCTTTCTCTCTCTTTCTTTCTGTAACTTTCTATTTCTTTACACTTCTTTTATTCTTCATTGGGGGATTCAAAAGTAACCAAGTCTGCATAATTGATCACCGACCCCATGGCCCCCGACCAAAATGGACGCACCAAAAGAGTTCTGATACATGATTGTATGCAAACCCTTGTCATCAACTCAAGTCATTGCAAAAGTTTTTTTCCGGCAGAAGAGCGTGATTTGCCGGAGAATATTCCCCGGGTGAGACGCGGCGGGCGAGAGATATCGAGGCTCGGTAAAGCGCAGCTCATCATTCACGGTTCGTTTCACATCGCCTCTATCACCATCAACGTGAGAGAGCGAGAGAGAGAGAGGAATAGAGAGGGAGAGAGAAAGAGAGAGAGAGAGGAAGAGAAGATGAGGAGGTGATGAAGATCGAATATGAGAGTAAGTGACTGGAATAATTCACTTGCAAGGCATGAGGATCGAAGAAAGGGAAACGAAACATTTCCATCGCGCCTGCTTAGATCTGATTATCACCATACGATGTAACTCGTGGATCTGCTGATAACATATTTCAATCCTTTTTTGCCAGGTCTGAAAGAAATGCGTGCTTGATCGCATTTCATGAGGACATTTTCGAATTATTTTCGATCGGTGCTTGGATTCAATTTTTTACGCATTCGTATTCAATCTCTCCTCAATACTTCATTACGCGGTTAATGATCCAATCGTTAATTATTTGAAGCCATACAAGTCATCTGCTCGTAAGATAATGCTCGTTTATTTGTTTCATGACACCCATAGATTTTTGTTGTTGATTTTTGTTGTTGTTGTTGTTTCTAATAAAGCAATATTTTGAGGAGCTGCACTAATGTGACACAGTGTATCGTCTCGACAATTATGTATAGCACATCAGAGCGCTCGACCCAACGACGAGGTTTACCTCCTGCATTTGATCCCTTTTCTCACCTTTTACAAAATCAATGCATCATTTCTGAATTTCGCTTTGCGGTTTCCGAATAAGTGCGCTACATACCTCCCCCCTCTTTTAACAGTATACTAAACTTGGCGAGGAAGATTTTAACAGCTGTTTGTGGAGAGTATCTGTGGGAAATGTATAGTCATCCTCTCGCTGACGTTCTGAAAACAAGATAAAAGGTTTGAAGCGATCACAACGCAAATCATCTAATCCACCTGATAGATAATTACTTGGCGTGTTTTGATTTCTATCGATCCAATCAATGCTCTGTTGTTGCATATGATGATCCTTTGAACACTCGCCATTTATATGAAAGCAATAGGAGGTATCATCCGAAAGTGTCGTCTCTTCTTCCATAAGATTCAATCGTGGAACTAAACTGACATTTTCGAACTCTTTACACGAATACAGTATACATCTACAAAACCCGATAAACTTCTCATAACAAATGTTCGTCGGACTGGGGTGATCGGTGGCAGGAAACACTTGTCGTGAGGCCTCGTTCTGGTTTTGTATTTCATGAAACGCCATCATCTGCTGTGCAGTTCCGTGGAACGACAATCCACTGCATCTACTGGTTACGAAAACTCGGACAATTTCTTTTCTGCAACGGAAACACGACTTGAAATCGGTTAATTTTAAGACACATTTTTAAGTTACGACCTTGGAAAGTATGGCTATTCAACACGGAAAGCTTCACCTTACGATCTGTATCCTCTCGAGTGTTCTTTACGTTGCATCTGCCGGCTACCAAATCACGATATGTAAGTTTTGTTACAAATATTGTATTACCCTTTTAATTAAGTTTTTACTCCTCAAATGGAGTGCAAACTATGAATATATACAAAGTCCCATTCGTAGTTCTGATGATTGCAACGACCGCTTGAAAATAATCTACAAAACATGACAAAGTTTATCTAAAAATCCGTTAATGGTGCTTAAAAACATTCAGCCCGTTTCCAGAATAATAAACATACCTGACAAATAAAACTTTCGTCATCCCTTTTTGGGGTATTTTTCTTTATCAAAAAGGGTATTGCAAGTAACCTATAAATTGCTTGAATGTTATATTAACAAAAAATCATGTGAAAATGCTTCATTTTCAAGTCCTTTGGTCTTTGTCCTAATTGCATCTTACTAATCTTCTTTAGATATGAAGTTTGCATTTCTAGTCCTATCCGGCCAATGCAGTAATGTCGTTTTCATTATTATTTTAAATCTTGCATTGAATTAAATATATTGAACTAAAGGTCGTGAGGTGCCTTCGGAAATTCAGGTACTAGTAGACTCTTGCCGTAATATGTGTACGTTTATCACATTCAAGCACTTGAATATAATGTTTGGAGATGTGAAATTTTAGGATTAGGATTTATTATCGTAGAACAAAAATACATGTTTTAATTATTATTATAGGGAAGGGGTGGCTGAATGGCGTTAAATAACGGGAAATTGTATCCCTCCCTTGTACCACATTTGAACTTTCTATACTTGCTTTGATTTATCTGAAACAGGGTTGATAGAAAATCAACATACTGAAAAATAATGCTCAAAGTGACATACAGAGAGCTAGAGGAGGATGGGGGGGGGGGTAAGATATTGTAAGTCAGAGAGACAGAGAAAGAGAGAGAGGGAGACAGAGCGAGCGAGAAGGAGGGAGAGCGAGAGAGAGAGAGACAGCGAAAGAGGAGTAAGCGAGAACGAGGGGAGTGTAGACTAATATGATTTATAATCATGATAATACCCAACCAAGTAGATCAAATCTCCAGTTAAGTCACGTCCCGACAGTGGGAATAAACCCATGATTAGTTCATGAATAGTTGATGATCCATGGGGAAATCAATAAATCTTTGCCAATGCCTCCCGAATATCAATTTAGCCGATCGTATAATAACAGACAATAATGATACACCCGATGAAAGGATGAGCTCACAGCTACGGAATATTATTAGAATGATGGAAAATTGAACTCATTATAATCATGATAATGCGAGATTTCGAATAAAATACGAAGTGGAACGTATACTTGATAGCACTCGCTAGCTTCAACGATGTTACGATACGATAGAGTCGTGCTTTACTGCCAGAACGGACTTCTATCTTAAGTAGACTAGGCGGAACATTTTTTAATGGGTAGACTGACATCTGGAAAGTCAAATTTTGTGTCTGTATGTGTGTGTGTGGAAGGGGGGGGGGTCTTCTTATTTAAGAATCGGAACAAAAAAGCTTTATGTGGAGTAGCGTACATAAATTATATAACTCAAAGCAAGGTAGCCCTTTTAGTAGGATATATCGTTTTATGGCCTCGTAAATTTAATGTACCCTTAGCATTATTCTCAAGTAAATCTTAAACTTATTTAATGGATATTACCCCCTTTAATTCAGGCCCCTTGACCCCATATAACATTGTACAGTGCGTCCCAGAAAAAATGAAACCGATAATTGTCGATGTTTTATTATAACTTAATCACAATTATAAATGATAAATTGATAGTAGACGAAAGACTTCATGCATGGCTGGTTTTCAACGAAACGGAGTTAAGTTTTTTTTACAATTCTGATTGTTGCTACTGCAGGCAGCCAGTGAAAACGAATTAGTTTAATAAAGTTATGGAAATGCAAGCACTACTTTAAACAAACAGAACTTTGTTATTCCTTGCTCATTTTTCCTGATTGAGATGTCATATGAAAGGGCAGAAACTCAAATTTTTAAGAATGTAATTTTCACTTTGAAATTCAGATACCGTCCGCCAAATGAATTTTTTGGTTTCCTCTCTTCAAATTAATTTTAATCACTCATGCGTGAAATATGTATCATATGAGTTGCATCAAATGAAAGAGGAGGATATAAGCTTTACAAATATGAGTCATTTATTAATTATAATTGTGATTAAGTTATGATAAAACATCGATAATTCTCGGTTTCGTTGTTTCTGGGACGCACTGTATATGATTAAAACATTAAAAAAAAACGGTCATAGTGTTACGCTTTCAAAAAATTGCAGTTGACGAACAAAGATTATGTGATGAACCTTTCGATAAGAAGTATAGTTTGTTTTGGTTATCAGTCCAGAAAAATGTAATTGGACTACTTTAATGGGACTACCATCTCGACCAGTGCCCTAATGAACTATTCCCGCCATGCCTGTAGTGTAAACAACTAGGTTATCCCTTGGAATCGCTTTCCAATATTGAAAGTTGTTCAGGGATATATTCCGTTGATCAGGTGATCTTTTCCTCGATACGCTTATTAATTTTCAGTATGGCAGATCTTCATGTAGTCTATAAACTATGGAAATATATGTGTATGAATATGTATATTCATATATATATTTATACAAATAATTAAAACAATTGAAATGAAAATGCATGAGAGTTCTCTGCTTCACTATGACCTTTTGTTTGTTAGTAAAGAAGAAAACTCTCAAGGATTTTTATTACGAATGTTTATTTGTATATTGCCGTGACGGAGGATTGTCAAAATCAAATTATTTGGTCTATTATATATATATATAGGCCTTTATATCGGCCTCCTACATACATTTGCTCCGTAAATAAGTATCAAAAGTATGGGGTTAGGGTTACGGCTGCAATTAGGTTTGTGGTTTGTTTAAGAATTTTAATGCTATAGTTTTCGGTCCAGGGCTTAAGTTAGGAATTCGGTTATAACATGGGTCGCACAACCACAATGAACACAGTTGTGTTTAGAAGTTTGCTTTATTAAATATGTCTTCTGTGATATTCAGTGCATAAAACCGGTGCTTATTTGAGGAAGAAGAAAAAGGTTAAACTTTAATCAATTATTGATTTTTTAAATTTATTTATTCAAACAGTCGGTATCTTTGACCAGGATGTGACAACGGACGATCCGAAGAGTGTCGGCTTCCGTCGAGGCATGATCAAGTACAACGTCCAAAGCAACAGCACTGGAAGTCCTTTCCAATTGATGGGCTTTGAGGTTCGCGTGCAGGTGAACAACAGCTTCATCTTGACCAACCTAAGTAAGTAAGGAGAGTGGTCTTTGTACAGTCCTAACATAACTTCATCTTGACCAACCTAAGTAAGTATGGACAGTGGTCTTTGAACAGTTCTAACATAGCTTAATCTTGACCAACCTAAGTAAGTAAGGAGAGTGGTCTTTGTACAGTCCTAACATAGCTTCATCTTGACCAACCTAAGTAAATAAGGACAGTGGCCTTTGAACAGTTCTAACATAGCTAGTGTAGTATAATAACATTAGGCAGTTTTTGCAACCGGCGACGGGTACTTCTGAAACGATAATTTCGCGGGGGATCGCACTCAGAGCGAAAATGTTCGCGTAGCGTCTAAACCTACGACGGTATTCAGCTGTATTAACGTCGAAAGTCGAGCTTTTACGGAGTGGTGAGCTCGTAGTCAGCACTTGCGTCGCCGTGCGAATATTCGCTACTAAGGATGATATTGGGGGGGGGGGGAATTGCCGTTTGGTCTACAATACATGTAAGTTCGTCTACTAACAAAATTCCCAAACGTGGCCTACACCCAGCGCGCCTATACTACCCGCATGATCCAATAATAATTTCGTCTACTTACTATTTGGTCTAATGAAGGTTTAGGCTAATAGCCGTTCGGTTTAATTACAATTTGGTCTAATCTCACTAGTCTACACCCCATTAGGTCTATTATTCATTGAGTCTATTAACCAGTCAGTCCAATTTACATTTTTTCTAATACCCCTTTCGTCTATTATCCGTAAGGTCTAATAATCATTTGATGATTATTACTATTTATGATTAAGTAGGCCTAATTATTAGCCCATATGGATAGCAGAAGTAATGGGCATTGTACATACGGGGAATTAGACCGACTGGAAATTAGACTTTCAAAGTTATTCTTAGAACAATGCTCTGAATGTTTAATTAGATTTTCAATTTTCGACAAATCAAGGCCAATGATTTCTTGTTTGTGTATCAGTAATTTTTTCAGAATACATCAATGTCATGTGCATTCTGTTAACGTTTTGCTATCCATTGGCATTAATGATTCATGACTGTAGGTTAAAAGAGGAGCATTGGAATTTCAAATTCCATCCAACAGTATTTTTCGATATCTGAATTAATCATTGATACACACCGATATTGTGGCGTTGTTTCTTTCTAATTGAATATTCCCAGCATTTTTTGAGAAGAGCATTCGAGGAAATGTTCTATACTCTACTCGAAATTAATTTGACATCCGTCCTCTTTACGATGTAAAAACCTTAGTCTGCCACAAATTACAATTCTTAGTTATGAACGATCAAAAGGTGTCAATTGTTTAAATTTATAATTTATTGAAACGTCTATCTAGCTTGTATTTTACAGTACTTCTTAAATTCGTCATCGAAATGCGAGAAAACAATTCACTGCCGAATTCATGGTGTCGAATAATTATTAGTAGTTCCGAAACTTCAGGGGCTGCCTATTTACTGAAATCATAGAACTATGGAATTATATTAACTTCAGCCCTGCATCTTTGTTTCCTCTTTTCTGCTAGGATTTTCTTCTTCCTACTAATACATATCAATCCTTCACACATTTACTTGCATTTTCATCTCACGATCGCGTCGGAATAAGCCTCTTGATTACAACGCTCAACTGTATCCCAACTCAATGCAATACGCACGTTGATGGAAACAGGAATCTGTTCGGACCCAGGGATTCATTACATACCCCTGGCACCCCATGACACCCATTCATAGTACAGATCAAATTGGGGGTACTTGTGAAAATTCATGTTTCCGAACGGCAACCATCTTGATCGCATGTGTGAAGTCATGACATCGAGAGTTGGTCTGTTAACACTTCCATAAGTTAAAATTAAAAAACATAAAGTAATATTGTTAGGGAGAAACTTTCTTGTCGACACTTGCTTAATGCCACATCTGCAAGACCAAGGGTAAACATAGACACATCATCGTCTTTCTCACCGCTTTTGAAATTGGATTTTACAATTGATATATGCCATTCTGGGTATGCAGTTCGACATAATTATGTGGAATGAGTTATTTACTTTTATTGTTGTTGCTCTTTTCACTATTTTTGGGTGGTACATTAACAATCGGAGTATCCTCTGTGTTACATCCTACAAGCATGATAAGAGGACTTGGAAAATAGGATTTCATTAAGTTTAATCAAAGGGCAGTTGCACATCGCAGTTGTTTCGAACCCGTAAGCTTCTAGGCTACGAAACTATGGAACTTTCCATTAAGCCATCACATCTATAGACGAAAATAAACGATGTGAACGGTCCCGTTTAATAAGTTTCAATGTATCCAAATTTCTCTCCAGATCTGTTAGTTAGTTAATTAATTCACCTACTATGGGTAATGCTACCTCCATGGATGGAATATAATTTGCATACATTAGTTGTTGCTATGCCCGGTAAGCTTATGACAAGCTTTTGAGTCATCAAGATCAACTACTGTTCAAATAGTATAGATGAAACAGGTTCTTGGACGAAACTTAGCAATCTACTTTGCATACAGTAGTTGTTGCTATGCCTGGTAAGCTTATGACAAGCTTTTGAGTCATCAAGAGCAAGTATTGTTCAATAGTATTCATGAAACAGGTTCTTGGACGAAACCTAGCAATCTACAGTAGTTGTTGATTTGCCTGGAAAGCAGCAAGCTTTTTGAGTAATCAAGAGCAGCTATTGTTCAATAGTATTCATGAAACAGGTTCTCGGACGAAACCTAGCAATCTACTTTGCATACAGTAGTTGTTGCTATGCCTGGTAAGCTTCTGGCAAAGCTTTTTGAGTCATCAAGAGCAACTATTGTTCAAATAGTATTCATGAAACAGGTTCTTGGACGAAACCTAGCAATCTACAGTAGTTGTTGATTTGCCTGGAAAGCAGCAAGCTTTTTGAGTAATCAAGAGCAGCTATTGTTCAATAGTATTCATGAAACAGGTTCTCGGACGAAACCTAGCAATCTACTTTGCATACAGTAGTTGTTGCTATGCCTGGTAAGCTTGTGGCAAGCTTTTTGAGTCATCAAGATACAAATAGTATGCATGAAACAGGTTCATGGATGAAACCATGAGCACGGCAACGGGAACACAGCCCTGGTTTCATGCATGCAAGGGGATCATGAAGAGGGTGATTATTCGTAGAGACAGTCCGATACACCACAAGTCTCCAGCGGATTAACACCGCTCGAAATGTCACACGTTCGGTGCTGAGACACCATTAATTATTTAGACCCTGCCCTTTGTGCCATGAAAGCCTTGATGAGGCAGACGAGCGTGGATAAAAACAAAATAAAACAGGGAGAAGAATGTTAAGTAGTAGAAGAGGAAGACGAAATGGGAATGATCTAATACGGAAGAGAAATTGCAGAGAGCTCCTTGCGACACGAAGGACCATGCAGGCTACGAACACGACATCAAATTGAAGTATACCGATTTCTGTTGGCATGATATTGGTACAAAACAGCTAATATATCTGTAATAATGTTACAGGAATAATATCACAAATATTTAAGAAAGAACTAACTAACCTATTGTTATTTTCTATTTATTTTGTATGAAGGAAAGTAGTAGAAATCCTATGACATCAGTTTATGTCATCATTTTACAGCAATAATGGTCCTAATATTACAAAAGAACTTACCGAAAAGAGAAAGAGAGCCGTAGAGAGAGAGAGGGGCGAAAGTGAGAGAGAGAGAGAGAGAGAGAGAGAGGGGGGGGGGGGAGAGAGACCAAGAACAAAATAAAAGGCCATTTTCTTCCAAGAGTCACTCAACGGTTAAGTTTATGCACTGTGCACGAACAACTTGTGTGCCACGCCCATATCATATTATGTATAAACAAGCCTCCACAACTTCAAATCACGCACCCTCATACCCTCACTGCTTTTGCATTAACATCCTTATAATCGATAATATTATACCAATAACAATACCTCACTTCTTTCATTGTATATCATAATATTTTGTTTAATATTAAAAGTGAAACATAGCTTACAAATAGCAGGTGCTCACCTAGTATTCGGAATAAGAAACAGAATGAAGGTAATGGGGCAAAAAGCCTGCCATCAACGTTAACCAAACGTACATTCAAGTTTCGCTAACAACTAAATAATTCATAAATCCGTGCATCTTCATGATGATGATTATACATAATCCGGTAACGGTATCGGGGAATGGTGAACTTGTAAATTCGCTTTTAACTCTTATCATGCCACATGGCTAATCCCCATTGTGCCAAGCCCCAAATCCCCCCGTGCCAGGTTGTTTTGGAGATAACCTGATTAACGCGATGGTTCTATGAATAGCGAGTGCAAAATACACAGCACAGTCAAATGAGCATGAACAATAACTGCTATTACGAATGCTGCATTGCACGCACATGGCACTCAAGTGGTGGCTCTCTCGCATGTACAAAGCACTATAACAATAGTGTGCGTGCAGCCTTATGGCAGGCTATGAATTAACAAATGACCTGTTCTATACTACATGTACATGGATGTTACCCCCTCCACCCGCTCTCTGTAAACTAGTTCAGTACATTTTTGTCCCCATAAATTTACCACAGTATACCCACCTTCCTGTGCTCTGCGTGTTTATTATCGGTTCTACGACACATTCTCTATCTGCAGATGCTTCAGGGCCCTGTTTCATAAAACTTGATTTCAATAACAAGTTACAAGCTACTGTTATAAGCTACTTAAATCCTAGCATCTGATTGGCTGAGAACAAATTCGTCATAGAAATTTAGCAGTTGTTATAGATAACAAGTTTTATGAAACGGGCCCCAGTATCAATTTATTTTAACTAATCACTAACTTCAACTCTAGACCACGTAAAGTGCCTCGTCATAATCACTTACAGGAACCCTTCATCTGGCATGCAACCCAATTGTAATTACCCTAACCCTAAACATTTAACTCTGGCGAAATAAAGCTTGGAACTCATGTTGCAGGAGGAACATTTTAATAAAGCCCCACTGCACTACTGTTAGCAACTTGCGCCCTCTATACAGCCAACAATGCCTAAGTGGTGCCCGTTGAGCCCCCATGATGCCCTTTTTCTTATGTTAATTGAGAGCTGATTTGATGAGATAACCACAAGCCAGTGACCCTGCAGGGAGGTCTTCCACGAGACATACTAATCCCTCCATGCCAAACTAGTGCAGAGGAAGTTTAATGTCGGATCACCTCATTTTCTTTTTTGCCACATTCCTGTTCCTTTAGTCTGCGGAGCACTGAGTCAGAACCGCATGCTGATAGCTGGTGATGCTGACGTGACCACCATCTACAATGCCGCGTCCGCCAGCAGAGAGGTGAAGATACCATACTTCATCACCAGTTTCGCCCCTCGGGACGTCTACCCGGACTTCACGGCCGAGTATCTCCTGGCCATGCAGCCGCAAGTACTGCAGCCATTGGTGGACTACATCGAATATTTCCACTGGACCAGCTTGGCATATGTTTACGAAGGACAGGCAGGTGGGCCTATATTTGCTTATACCCTAGTCATACCGCAGTCGCTCTGCACTACCGATTTCAAACCGACCCCAAATGGACCATTTCTTTTGTTTCCGGTAGGGTTTCGTAATTTTTGTTTCGGTCTGTAGTCGGTCTATAGTCGGTGTAGTTACGGTCTCGTTCGGTATTAGACCCATAAATCGACTATAGACCAGACTCAAATACCTACCGATTATTGGTCGTTTGGGATACCTTGATTGTATGTCTCACTCTCGTGGGTTGTTGGTGAGGACGTGAGGTGTCGGTTTGGTTGATGGTGTTACTGAATTATTGTTGTTTTTATCTTGGACCATATGAATAAAGAAAGAAGAATAACAAACATTAGTAAGTGCGCTATTTGGGGTTTTCAAGCATCTATCAATCAGATATGACATTTCACCTCTGGGGTTGATCCTTTGAAGTCTATATACGAGACTCAGGGCCCAGGACCCAGGAACCAACATTGGTAATTGGGTACAGAAAGACTACTAATTAACATAATGTGTTTCAGTGATCAGTTTCGTTGTTAGCATTCAGACACTAGTGGTGCTTAATGTTGATACATATTCACCAAACTTAAAACCTTGACCATTGCCTCTTGATTTTACTATTCATAACTATCCATTCTAGGGTTTCTTCGATTGCATAACTTCTTGGAGCTGATTCGTCCCTTGGGAATCGAGGTGTCACATCGACGGATCAACGTCGATACGGTGAACGAGACCCTGGTCGAGCTAAAGGACACCGGGAAACATAGGATCATCTGTGATACTGGACTAGCATTGACGAATACTGTTCTTCGAACTGTAATTATTTATCTTAGCTTTTGCTAATTATATTCATTGCGTTTTGATACGTGGGCACCGGTACTCCGTCATTTTCTCTGGCGAAAATTGCTCTGGGCTTTATTTCGTCAGAAGTTTAGGATTATAGGGCCTAAAATAAAAACTTGTTGTATTGCCCTTTGCGACCGACCCCAATATCTGAAAATCTACGGTCGGCATTTTTGTTTTTAAACCGTTTTTTAGATTTGTTTATATTTGTATATACAACAAGTTTTTATTTTAGGCCTAGTTGGGGTGCAATTGTGTTTTAGGACAGTCTATGGGTTAGGGTTAAGGCTAGGTATAGTGTCGGGCCTACGGTTGAAGTTAGGAATTCTGCGAGTGTAAGAAATTGTCGTACAACCGGATCCAGCTCATTTTCCTAATGGGTACATCATTATATCCTTAATTAAATACCCCTGAATAAATACACTCTTAGGGGAAAAAATATACAATATTATATTCATTCTTAACTTAATCAATTTAATTAAAGCAATCATATTCAACACAAACAACTTTTTGTCATTATATTGTCTAAGTTATACACCTTTTACATATAAAATCGGTGATGTTTAATGAGTTTGCATAAATCCTGAGAAAAACAGTTTTATGATATTAAAATGCGCTACACACAGTGAACGAATTAAACGTTACCCGGTGTGTCTTTGCAAACAAATACATTTACAGGCCATTGTTAAAGTCCTGCTCTAATAATGAAAAATGTAACTTATGCTACGGTCACAAAGGATCATACGAACGATAATTTTGTACGAATCTCCCTGTTTTTCCATTGTCTTTCCGAATTTCCATTGTCTGAAAATCGTTCGTACGGCGTCCGTAGCAGTTCGTAATGGCATTTGTGACAGAGGCTTTAACAATGAACGTACAATGTACCAATAGGTTATAACATGGTCATCATAATGTAATGATATAAAGATTCGCTTTTTTTTTATGTCCTTTTCTTTAATTTTACAGTCCCTGGATTTGGAGATGGTTACTGCTTCCTTTCACATGGTTTATTTAAATTTGGTAAGTCTTCTCATGTTTGTTCATGGTCATTAGGAGTGGAACCGAAAGAGAAAAATTCAAAGACAAAGAAAGAGAGATAGAGAGAGAGACAAAAAGAAAGAGAGAGAACAAAATTTATCGAACCCATAAGTACTTTTTGGTTGTTGGTAAAAAAAAAATTTAAAAAATTGTCGAACATGGGAAAGATATCACATCTCTAACAGAGAGAAAGAGAGAGAGAATAGATCGTTGGTCATATTTTCTTCTTCAATCTCTGGAACCAAATGATAAACGAATAAACAAAAAGTTGACCCCAAATGCCATCAGAAAAAACAAAAACTCTCTTTAGTTATTCAGACAAAAGTTATTATCAACAAACTTTACTTATGGATCAAAACTTCCCGAGAAAGGAATCTGTTCAGCTGCTTTCTATGTACCTTATTTCTCAAAGTGGTGTTATATTCACTGAATCACTAAGCGCACTGTTTTCTCTACAACGAAAAAATTATTACAGAAATTCTAAATATTACTAATAAGTTTAAATATAATGGAAATGACATTGATCCCAGGATCCGAGGACACTGTGGTATACATGTAATAGGAAATGAAATAGCAGACTCCCACGCAAAAGTTGATTTATCAAATAAAATATGAATTAAAATTACATTATCAAAAATAGAACTATAACATCTGAAATAAAACTAATAATTCAACAGAGTCCCAAGGTACTTTGGCAAGAAAGATACTCGGCCCTGAAAGCGCTATTCAGCCATCGGCGACATCTCCATAATAATATACATGGAATTTAGGTGGGGGAAAGGAGCTATGCTCTTTTCGTCTTCGCTTAGGGTTTATCGGATAACCAGTGTCCTTCTCAACATTCTGGAAATTAGAAGACGACATAACCACTTTTGTTTAAATCCTATCTGCACTATATAGTTTGGCCAGGATGGATTGGACCTCCCTGTAAGGTCACTGACAGGTGGTTATTTCATCAACTCAGCTCTCAATTAACATACGAAAAAAGGGGACCATGGGGGAGGCCAATGGTAACCGATTAGGCATTGTTTGCTATAATAATAATATGTTAAAGTCCACTCAAAATTGTATTAAGTTAAACCGAAAATGGAAATTATTTTTGCCCAATTGATCATGAGACCGACAGCCACTGTGCAGCGCCAGATCGACGTTGCTCTATCTAGAGGGCGCAAGTAGCATAAGTGGTGCAGTGGGGCTTTAATGTACGTCTAACTTCTTTCTTTCACAGGACTTTGACACCATCGACACCAGTAACATGTCCTTTGGAGGAATGAACCTAACCGGCTTTTCTCTGATCACGAACAAGAGTAGTGAAGCGTATCAAGATCTCTTCGGTGATTGGTCAGATAAGTTCAGAGACTCTCATCCCACACTTGCGAATTCCAATGTAGGGGTAAGTAGAGTTTTTTGTTGGTAATAAATACATTTCTTAGACTCATGGACGTATCCAGGATTCTCCCTCTCTCTAACAAGAGGGTGGGGGCATAGTTCAGACAAAACTTCAGTCAAGCAAACCAGCCAATTCAAATTCAAATTCAAATGTTATTGATTTCAATCTAAACAAATAGGATCATTCTCAATTTGTTTATACATTGGATAACAAATTTCAAAATTATAGCGTACCATAGATAATTGATTGTAAGAGTAAAGATAACACGAGCAAGGGGGAACAGGGGTGTGTGGGGGTGAGGGGGGGGGGGGTAAAAAAATAGTTTTTAGAAAACTTATGTCACATTTTCTTGCGAAGCATTATAATGTGATAGCAGGAATTTGCGTCTGATCACTGGCACGACTACTGGATGCAACCTTTGACTTGGGGTTTATAAGAATCCAATGTTGAAGTTAAGAATTCGGTTAGTGTAAGGAATGGCCGCGGAGAAATTGTCGCAAGAACAAATGCCGTACAAATTGTACGGCATTTCACGAAGTGACGGTAGTGAGGAAAATCGTAACGCAAAGTGAATGCAATTTTTGCACTACCGTCACTTCGTGAAAACAGCGACACAATGACAATATTGTTATTCAGTGCCACAGCACTAATGCCTTTTGTCAAGGTATTAATCTACATTTGCCGCACTCAACCCAGGTGACGTAAATGGGCACTCGGTAGGAAGAACATTCCATGAATTCTTGAGCGCCTTTTCCTGGTAACTCGACTAAAGCTGGGGGTAATAATATGATTGTAGGGCTCTCAGGGAGAACAGTATTAAAGGTGAAATTCAAAGAAAATCCATTATGTCAACTAATATATCACTAGAAACTGGTAAGCTAACAGATGGCCATCGTACAAGTTTTAGGTCGAACTACATATCGAGTGATTTATAAAAATACAAATACAACCACCTCCATAGCAACTGGGATATACGAGAGATTCGCCGGAAAAATAACGATGTTTTAATGACGTCACTATATGGACCAATACTGCCCAAGCAGACGACATCCCATAAAGAATGAACATAATTGCAAAGCTATTATTTGTCAAATTATAATAAGTTTAGTGTATATTAATGTGATGGCATGTCAAACCATTCAAAAGGGGATATGACCCGATTCTAATAACTAAAATCTTTTGCTTGTAAATACACAGGATAGGGGTTAATTAACAATCAAAGAAACCAGACTTTCAAATTGAAAATCCCCCGGAATGATACTAAGGACGGCATTTGTTCCCTCTTGGAACGCCGAACATACCGCGGTGTGTGCAGCTGAATATACAATGGCGTCTTATTATGTTTACAAGCGACATATTCCTTTATTTTTGTATCGCTGCATTTGTCAACAAAATAAAACCATGCGCGGGGTTAAGAGTGAGGCAATAGATTATACATTTAGCCTGACGGTAGTGAAGTAAGAGAACGAACTCAAGAGAAGATGAAAACACAGGCACTAAACATGTGTGAGAAGTCATGGGACATCGTCTGCTTGTGCAAATCATGTCCATACTGTGATCTCACACATCTCAGCAGCGTTCGGAGAGCTCTTCAGGTGCTATGCCGGGGGCTGTATTTAAGCGTTTTGTAATTTATAATAATCATTACTTCGAATGTTTTCAAGCATTGAATTTTGATAACCTTGTCGAATCAAAGTTTCAACTTTGCAAAAATGAACATAAAATTAGTTATTAAATTCAATGAATATCTACTTTAACACCGATGAGGCTACCCTAGGTAAAGAAGACATATTACTGTTATCACTACAATTATTATAATTATTATTCAATAAACCAGGATTACTGCCACCCGTGTTGAATGGGAAAAAGCAGAAACACTTTATGTATCTAGATATTCACGTTCACGGGGCGTAGGTTATCAGTAATCATATTTTCTGTTTGTTCGTTATTTTAAATCTAATTGTTTGCTTTTGTATCAAAGTACGAGGCCATCCTCGCTCACGACCTCTGCAGAGTAGCCGTATCCGCGGCGCGTTCCATCCACGAAAGCGGCAGGGAGTTACCGCTACCGAGGGTCAATACCTACCACAGGTGTTTTAAACAAGTCAAGGAAGGCACCGAGACTGTTGCTTCAACGGTCGGACCGGAGCTCTTGGACGCCATCAAAAGGGTAAAACAGAAATCTTGATTTTGTATGAACTACAGAGTACATCATTTGGTTTCGGTGACTGGTCCGTTAAGCTAATCTGGGGGTGTTTCATTAAGCTATGCGTAAAGTTACGCATACGAATGACTTTACGAATGAATTGAATATGAAGAGCCAAATGGGATGCCCACAGTTTTTCTGACATTTTAACAAAGTGTGACTGTATTTCCCATAATCTCCATTAAATTGTAGCCCAAAATACACTTTGCATTAAAATGTTTTGTTAATAATGATAAGATTAATCTACATCTGCATATTTCAACTTCAGCTTATGCAATAGGCCACTTTCGTAATGTAACCAAATGTAATGCATAAGTCTTTGTGAAATGCCTTAATACGAATTATTTCATTCACCTGATAATAATAATAATATTTCAATAGAGAGGATCCGAACTGCATACATTAATTGTTGCCAGGTAGGACAAACATTATGGCTTGACCTACCTAGCAACACTTAATATATGCAGTTTGCTCTTTGTCTATTGAAATACTATTATTATTATTGGTGAATTGAATAATTTGTATTGAGGCACTTCACAAACATTATGGCTTGATCTAACTAGCAACACTTATTATGCAGCTTGAATACTATTATTCTTATCAGGTGAATGGAATAATTTGTATTGAGGCACTTCAAAAGACTTATGCATTAAATTTTGGTTCCATTACGAAAATGACCATTAAAAGGATTTGATAATCCCATTTAGGTCTTCATATTCAATTCTTTCGTAAAGTCATGCGTAACTTTACGCACAGCTTTATGGAACACCCCTTTTTGTAAAACAAGATGAATGTTTGTTAAAGGGTAATCAATGGCGGTAAAGAGTATAACTTTTAAAGAATTATGTATGTGTCTCAGTGAGAGTAATGTTAAAATCATGTATATCATAGGTTCATTTACAAGATCGATTTCAAAGAAAATCCATAATATCGCAACCCTTGTAAAACAAAAAGCTGCCTATAAATGTGATGACAACTTGGACTGATTTGGACTCACTTTTTAATATTTCATAGGACACGTTTGTATATGGCTTGGAAAGCAAAATGTAACCGAGGATAAGTGTGATTATGACAAGCTCCGTTTCTGCTTTATTTTGATTGTTCAGACGGCAACGAATCAATTAAGTGGACGAGTTCAATTCGATGGAAACGGATCACGAACCAACTATTCCCTTCAAATAGTCGGACTTCACAATGGAGTTGTGGAGCAGGTAAGATTTGATGAGGGCCCGTTCCATAAAAAAATAAAGAGAAAGTTTGGTTTGGGGGAGAGGTAAAAAACAATTTGTGAGCGTTGTCATTGTTATTTATGCAAGTGTGGAAGAACATCAGAGCCCAAAAATGTTCCCTGGAAAGCATGGCTCTTCAAATGCCTTCATATTCTAAATATGACATGTTACAGCTTTAAAATGTGGGTCTCATGTTTATGCCACATGTTTATGTGGTCCCATATACATCTTTCTGTGTACAAAGCTTGGTACTTTTTACCAAGACTGTGCCAAATTTATTATCAATTTGATGGCTCCACAACCTTGCAGTACACTGCAAGGATCGCTGCCACATCGTTTCTTTCACAATTGTATCGCATGAGCGGGACTCAACTTTATCGTTATAAGCTACTGAAATCGATGCTTTTGATTGGCTATGAACAAGTTTAATGTGGAAATTTGACACTTGCTATTGATAAAACAAATTTGTTAAACGTTTTAACGATATTTCCAGATGCAATTCGAGAAATCTTCCCTTTTACCACTTACTCTTTTTATAACTTTATGTCCATCTGTCCCTTTTCCTGTTCCTTGCGTCGCTCTATATTGCCTTTCCCTTTTCTTCTTCTATACAGTGCGTCCCAGAAAAAACGAAACCGAGAAGTATCGATGTTCTATCATAACTTAATCACAACTATAATTAATGAATGATACATATTTGGAAAGCTTAGAGTCTCCTCTTTCATGTGATGCTACTTAGATAATATTTCACGCATGAGTGATTAAAAGCAATTTGAAGGAAGGAAACCAAAAAGACATTTGGCGGGCGGTATCTGAATTTCGAAGAAAAATTCACATTTCTAGAAAGTTGAGTTTCTGCCCTTTCATATGACACCTCAATCAGGAAAAATGAGCGAGGAATGACAAAGTTCTGTTTGTTTAAAGTAGTGCTTGCATTTCCATAATTTTATTAAACGAATTCGTTTTCACTGGCTGCCTGCCGTATCAATAAACGAAATTAACAAAAGACTTAACTCCGTTTCGTTGACAATCAGCCGTAGACGAGAGTCTTCATGCATGGCTGATTGTCAACGAAACGGAAAGTCTTTTGTCAAATCTGCTTTTTGCTACGGCAGGCACCCAGTGAAAACGAATTCGTTTGTTAAAATTATGAAAATGTAAGGGCTTCTTTAAACAAACAGAACTTTGTTATTCCTGGCTCATTTTTCTTGATTGAGGTATCATATGAAAGAGCAGAAAATGAACTTTCTAGAAATATGAATTTTCATTTGAAATTCAGATACCGCCCGTCAAATTACTTTTTGGTTTCCTTCCTTCAAATTGCTTTTAATCACTCATGCGTGACATATCGTCGCCGTTTTCACGAACCGGCACAAGCCACCGAAATCCCTTCAAAATGTAGTTTTTATTTTTCTTGCATTTTTAGCATAAGTTATCAACAATCTTTCATCTCACCAAATTTCAGCATCCAAAACGCTTTAGTTTTTGAGATATCCATGGTTACACAAATGACAAAAACGAGACACGAGCCAAAAAGCACGATTCATATTTTCACGAACCGGCACGCGCCGTTATAAGTCAATGGGCTGTGCCGGTTCGTGAAAATATCTTTGCGCTTACAAGACCTAGACGACGCGACACAGGCGGTTGTGCCGGTTCGTGAAAATAAAATACGCGCTAAGACAGCGCGAGCGCTTTTGTCTTGCGCGTAAAGTTACATAGGAAAAACGACACAGTGGCTTGTGCCGGTTCGTGAAAATATTTTTGCTACGTAAACAGCAAAATAATATTTTCACGAACCGGCACGAGAGTCCAAAGCTTCGTAATATTAATAATAATTGTCATTATACTTAACAAATGGAATGTATAGAAAATACAGAATATTTTCCTTTCATTGATATGTATTTTGTGATATAAAATTTGACATAAGGCATGTTTCTGGCGAATTCAAAACGGGCTAAACGTAAAACGCGTTTTTCTCAGAATGTACTTATTTCGTTGCGCGTTGGGCTGTGCCGGTTCGTAAAAACGGCGACGATATGCATCACGTGAGTAGCATCAACTGAAAGAGGAGACTCTACGCTTTCCAAATATGTATCATTCGTTAATTATGGTTTCGATTAAGTTGTGATAAAACATCGATACTTCTCGGTTTCGTTTTTTCTGGGACGCACTGTATAGTAACTTATGTATACTTGAAGGAATTTCCTAAACAATAGATATATGAAGAGCTTGATTCCGAAAGGAGCTAAATCCATTTTAATCAAGATTGAGTTTTGTTGATTTCAAATACTTATTTCCTACATGGCAATAAAATGCACTAAATCACTTTCTGAATTTCATCTTGAAAGAAAAAAAATCAGCTACAAAATTATGTTTAATTCCAAATGAGCTAAATCAATGAATACAAATATCTAAAAATTCAGCAAAAATAAAATATACTTGGTAGATTTGTTTAAACCATATACTTTTGGTCAAGGGTATTACCTCTAACATGTATCCAAAGTTGAAGGTGGAAATACCCAACGTGGATTTAGCTCCTTATGGAATTAAACTCTTCATATAAACATGACTTACAGGATGATAACATGATGATATATCTTTCAACACCTTTACCTTTACCTTTTCTCTTTTCTTCCGTTGCTTCCCTCTCTAAATATCTCCCCCCCCCCCCCGACAATACTCCGCTCCAGGTTGGCACATGGAGTCAGAACAACGACCCTCCAATCTACTTCTTCGATAGCGAGACACACGGCCGAAAGGGAAGCCACGACTACGACAACAGAACGTTCATTATTTCATCAGTATTGGTAAGTAGAAAGGTTTGAATACACCGTTTGAAACGTTCCTCTTAGCCTCATCAACACATAAATATTATTTTACAGATTAACTTACATTTGTAATCGTGTTATTTTATTCTATTTTCATTAATGGTCTCATAAAATACGAAATTTGTGCATTCAGAGTATAAAAAAACGAACAAATTATAAATTTGTCGAATTCTCATATTCGTTAAAATTTCCGACTTTGTAAACATTTTTGTAAGGGGGAGGGGCGGGGGGCGTTACTCACAGGCCGCTTACATATGTAACTCCTAATTTATTTTGAATAACCAGCATCATCGTGGAAATGTACACTAAATAATTGTAACAATTTTGCTGTAATTATTTTGATACCATTCATGTGATTTCATCTATTCTTATGTCTCAGCATTTTCGTTGTTGAACCTTCTAATAAATTAAGTCATATTTTGAATATTTTTCGTGTATGTGTATGACCTCAATAAGGTCATTACATATGAAACAATGGGTCAAAACAATACTTGCATATTTGCATGGTAAATATTAACACACAGAATTCAAAATCAAAAATAGATTATGATATAGCTAAAAGAATACGTGTTACTAGAGGGGCCTTTTTTTAAATAATCTCCTTTCTTTTTTTTCTTTAAAACTTTTATGAAGGATGACCCCTTTCTGATGAATGTAACCCTCCCGGATGGAACGAGTCGCTTCGAAGGATTTTGCGTGGATCTACTCAAGAAAATCGTCGAAATCTACCCGTTCAAGTACCGCATACAGCTGGTCAAAGATGGCAACTATGGAACGCTACAGAGAAATGGAAAATGGGATGGGATGATCGGGGAAGTCATGTATGGGGTAAGCCAGTAGTACAAAATGTTTGATATAAGACCGTTCCTTTTTGTTGTGCGTATTTGTTTCTATTTACGTTTCTATTTTTGTAATATTAATTTGTATTCAGTTATTTATTTATTTATTTATTTATTCATTTATTTATTTATTTATTTATTTATTCATTTATTCATTTATTCATTTATTTATTCATTTTTTTATCTATTGATTTTTGTTAATCTGTTTAATATTTTTTTATGTTTTATTATCATTATTAGTAATTTGGGGGAGGGGGATGGGGTGACGGGGGCTATATGGTTATCTCTAAGTCTAAGTTTCCCCTTTGCTTTTCATTATTTCGTGGACGATACAGGGAGTGAGAATTGAATACAGCGAGTGGGGAGGAAAGGGGATTGAATAGGAGGGAATTTAAAGGGAACGAGAGGTCAGATTATTAGAATTATAAATTATAAAGAGAGAGAGAGGGGACAGACAGAGCGACACAGATTATGCGAGTGCCCATAAGTTCGAGCTTCAATTCAACACTTCACTTTTTCATCGTGCTTCCCATGCAGACTGCTGATATATCGGTTGCTCCTCTCACAATCAATACCGACCGGGAGCGCGTGGTCGCCTTCACCAAACCCTACATGAGCTTCGGCATCAGTATCATGGTCAAGAAAAGCAAGGCTCCTCGTCCATCTGGCTTCTCCTTCTTCCAACCCTTCACCAATGAGATATGGATTTGTCTTGCCCTCGCAACGTGTGGTGTGAGCATTATTATGTTTCAGGTGAGATTTGTATTCGTTTAATAATGATTTAGACTCATTTTGTATTTGTATTTATTAACATGTATTTCCTTCTCAACAGTACAACATGAAACACAATGTATATATAAATTATATATGTAACAATTATTTCAACATAGAGTATACAGTAAATAATTCAGATATGAAAGGAGGCGAAAACCCGGAAAGCATAGCTTGAGTTGGGAACGCCTATAATAAGTTAACACAGTTACCGAGAGAACATTATAGATATTATTATGAAAATTAGATATTATTATGAAAATTACATATTATATAACAGAACGTTTGGTCGCTGCATCCCCCCCCCCCAAAAAAAAGAAAAAAAAAAGAAAAAAGACAATGAACAAACAAACTATAAGAGAGGAATGATACCTGGCATCAAAATGCAGAGTCACCTGTTTGAGCAGCCAACTGTATATAAAGACAAAGACAAGATTCATTATTTTGAATTCCTCCCTGAACAGTACTCATCAATGAAACCATGTACTGGTGGAGCCTGCACACACAGACCACTTGACACTAACTGTATCCAGTGGTATTTCCGGGCATCCCTTGAGCGACTTTATATCAAGGTTGTACTAATTCAATCAACATTTATTGTAATCTTTCTGTCCTAGATATGTCGCTTCAGTACCGCGGAGTGGCGAATCGAAACGGATAACTCATCATCTGATGACGTATCCAATGGCAACAGAGCCACAGGGGCAGGCAAGGGTGTGAAATGGACCAACGATTTCTACGTCATGAACAGTTTCTGGTTTGCCTTGGGCGCCCTCATGCAGCAAGGAAGTGACATTTTACCACGGTAAATACATGTAGTCTAGACCCTGTTTCATAAAACCTGATATCAATAACAAGTTACAAGCTATTGTTATAAGCTACTGAAATCCTTGCTTCTGATTGGTTATCAGCAGATTTGTCACTGATTTTTGTCATTTGTCATTGAAAAAAAGCTTTGTGAAATGCCCCCCCCCCCTGATCTACATGATATAGATTGTGATTAAAATTCAACATGTTCAAAACTCAGAAGCATGACCCCTATCCCTACCCCCTCCCCCCAAAAGGAAGTCAAAAATAATAATAACAGCATGCATTTTCAACAACGGAAGGAACAGACAGATCAAAATCTGATCATCCATATTTATCCTAAAATATATTTCCATTAACATTTGAATTTTCATATTATATTGCTTACTACCATTTGCCACAAAAGGGCGGTGTTGTGTTTAAAAAGGAATAAGGGTTCTTGATTAGATACTTTCGTTTATACCTTTCCGAGAAAAAAAATTTTGTCTGTCAATTTTGTTTTATCGAAGTCATGCCTACATACCTTGACATCGGCCGTATTTGTTCAGAAACCATGTATAAAACAATGCCTTGGGTTTTATTAGCATTTCCTTACTGAATACATGCCATTTTTTCTGTACTTCTGTTTAAAAAAAAAAATCATATTTGTATGCGTGGCCCAATAAAACTTTTTCAAGGCAAGCACTCCCTAGACAATTACCACCTGGACAACTTATACCTAGAACAGTTACCCTCCTGATAGCAACCACTGACCATAACAAATGCATCCACAAGATCAAGCCAACTTGTTTGTATTACCCCACTGGTGCTAGCTGTCTGAAGGTAATAGCGCTATATAAGCGGAATATTTCTATTATCATTATTGTCCGATGATATATTTGACCGAAGGTAAGTTGTTCGGAGGTAAGTTGTCCGGGGATATATCTTGGGCATTTGTCCGGGGCAACTTGTCCACAGTGTTCTGTTGTCCTATATCGTTTGCATAACTGTGTACCAATGGTTTACATCTTTTTTTGTCTCTTGAACAACAACATCATAAAGGTCCATTTCTGGTCGCATCATGGGTGGGGTGTGGTGGTTCTTCACCCTCATCATCATCTCCTCTTACACGGCCAACCTTGCTGCGTTCCTCACCACCCAGAGCATGCAGTCTCCCATCAAGTCTGCAGAAGACCTGGCAGCGCAGACCAAGATTCAGTATGGTGTCCACAAGGGTGGTTCCACAGTCGAGTTCTTTAGGGTAAGCAGGCGTGTAAGGCGGGTTGGAGAAGGAGGGGGCGTTGGTGAGGGCTAGGGCTACTGCAGGCCACGCCACTATCCATAATTTTAAAGCTTGCCTTGTGTTGAACAACAGTTGCCTTATATCTAACCTGGAGGGTGTTTCACAAAGATTAAGATCGACTTTAAGTCGGATTTTTTAACTATGGCAGGCCATTTATGCCACTGGTTGCTGTCACCATTGCTCTCTCAATTGATTTCTTAGGATAATATGTTTTCCTTCAATAAAGAATTATCAACAAATGTAAATTCTGTAGATGTGTGACCATGATTTGTACGTCCCTTAAGAAACCAACGCCAGGAATGGTTAGAGGACCTGGTGGTATGAACGATCTTAATCTTTGTGAAACACACGCACCAGCGCGCTGGTGCGTCCTTACATTTTAGCAGAGAGGACGAGGTCTCTTATATCCTATTTGACATGTTGCTGTCGAAAGTGCAGTGAGTGTTTACGAATATTTCCACTTTTTGTTTGAGGCTCTTTCGCTTCGCTTCCTCGTATATGAATAGAAAGGAACGACAAGTTCATTATTTCGACAAAAGGCATCAGCATCGTTGGCAGCTTTATGTACGTACGCCTATTATGGCGAGCTCCCCCTTCCCCACCCACTATCATTCAAGCTTTCAACGTCTTAAAAGCATCGTTTAACAATGTTAAATCTGAGATGCACGGCCTTACATGTTACCATTGTCTGTGATATGGTGTTATATTGAAGCCCTAAACAAAATGCGCTTCAAAATGATCAAGAAGTGCATCAAAAGAGTAAAAATCTTTGAGTGACCGGTTTTATCATACTCGTTTTCCCCAATAGACTGTAGTGTTATGAAAGCCGTTAGGAAAACGCAAAACTTGGTTTTGATTTTCAATCATAAATATCTTGATAATCAGACAGGTGATCGGCTTGTAAAAGTCATGAGGTTTACAATTAAATCCAGAATTTTGTTTAAGAATCTGAGACAAAGTTACCAGATCCCTTTAAATGAAATGGTAGAAAAAGTCATCACAATACCATTGCCTTTAGGACACAAACATGTTTGAATAAAATGCAAATAATTTGTCTGCTTTCCGAAATCCTTAGAAATCCAGCAGCCCGCTATACCGCAAGATGTGGTCTTTCATGGCGAACACCGAGCCGTCTCCCCTGGCGGAGAGTACCGAAGACGGGGTGAGACGCGTCCGGGAGAGCGACGGCAAGTACGCCTACCTGCTCGAGTCCAAGATGAACGAGTATCGAGAGACCCAGAAACCATGTGACACCATGGCCGTAGGGGACCCCATCGGCACGAGTAGCTACGGCATAGCAGTTTCGAAGCACCTTGTTGAATTGCAGTAAGTCAGGCTGGAACGTCAACCAAGGGGTGTGGTATTAAAGTTAACTTAATGTATATCTTACACAAATAGAAATATTAATGATTACATTTCACCTCCGATTTATAAACAAATTCCCGTTTATACATTGCAATATGATATTAAAAATATGCAGTAGTAGTTTGTTTAATGCCCCACTGCACTACTTATAGCTAATTGCGCCCTCTATACAGCCAACAATGCCATAGCGGTGACCTTTGGTCCCCCATGATCCCCTTTTTCTTATGTTAATTGAGAGCTGATTTGATGAAATAACCACTTGTCAGTGACCTTGCAGGGAGGTCTAACCCCTCCTGGCCAAACTAGTACAGATGGACTTTAATTTTTATCTTACACAAATAAAAATATTAATGATTAAATATCACCTGCGATTTAAAAAAAACATATTCCCGTCTATACATTGCAATATGACATTACAAATATGCAGGAGTAGTTTGTTTAAAAAGTCCACATTTATTACGAGGATATCAAATAATTTGTATACATGTATAAAACTCTTTTATGCTAAATTTTTAATTATTAATGAGAATACAAACAGGGCCTAATGAAAAACTACCACCATCGGTGAAAAATGTGATGTACCCTGCCTAAATGTCATAATAAATAAACGTAATAGTGGACCCCTTTCGTAAAAACGGTTTGACGCACGCCTTCCCCCACCTCCCCCGGTGAACCTCAATAAATAAACATGACTTTGTGTCATGATTATCTTGATCAGTTCGTTTATTAAAAAACGACAATGTCCTTCCAATTGTAGCATGAGTAATTCATTCTTTAAACCATAATTACCTCCCTTTCGTTTTTCCATCTGGCTGTATGGGGGTACGTTGCATTGTGCATGTCATTGTACCTCCACCACTCCCGTCATAAAAAAAAGCGATTTAACGTACCGTATTTTGCTCTTGTCATAGAGACAAAGATTGTCCTTTTACTCAAACTTTGGTCTGATCCCCTCCCCCCTCGTCTCGAAACAGGAAGGAATTGACGGTGGCTATCTTGGAGTTGAGAGAAAGAGACACCCTGCGACGGCTGGAAGAGAAATACTGGGTGAATAGATCGCAGTGCGTCAAAGACACCACAGACGCAGTAAGTGTATGCTATATTGACGCAATTGGCGTACACTTTTTAGCTCCATCCGGGAAATCATTATAGGGAAGGGGAGAACAAAATAAATTAAAAGGCAGGTATTCATGTTTAAGGAAAACGTTTTGTTTCTTTCCATATGCCTTTCAAAACTCCTGATTGGTTATTTATTTATTTATTTTTTTGTTTTATATATGTATTTTTTTGATTGTTTTGATTTTTGATTTTTGATTTTTGATTTTTTTTTTTATTGCTTATTGCTATGAAAAAAATTGGCCGATAGACAAGTGGAAAAAGAAAAAAACTGTCCTTTTCCATAATAACCCCCCCCCCCCACATAATTCTACATAGGAGCTGACTGGGGCATAGCATAGGGGGGGGGGGTGGGTGTCTGTCCTGGTTCAAATAAACAATATCCCTTCCAAACAGCAAGGTTTGTATTCGCAAATGAATTTGCAATGAATTATGCAATCACGGATTTGCAGAAGAACAGCCATCGGCTGAAGCAAGTGATCCGTGTTGACATAAAATAAAATGAAATGAAATGAAATGAAATGAAATCTTACTCCAAAAGCGTAAGAGTAATACTTTTTGTCTTCATCACAGACTGAGACACGCGCTTTGAACCTGGACAAACTTGCTGGCGTGTTCTACATCCTCTTGGCAGGCACGGCTGTCGCTCTCCTGGTGTCCATCGTCGATCTCGTCTACCGGTCCAAAGAGCAGGTGCGCAATGAACTCAGCTCGTGTGGGTTCCGAAGGATGTGGCTCAACCTCCGTGCAAGAATTGCACATGTAAGCATGAAATAATGTTCAAAGAGACTTGATATCAATCGCAACTATGTACATAAAGGATAAGAGACTGCAAACTTGCGATTGATAGGAGGACTTACGATTGATTCGGATCAATCGTAACTCTTTGTAAGACGGGGTCCAGGAGTAGAAATTGAAGGTTCATGGTTTTAGAGAAGATAAAAGGGGGCTATCTGACTTCTCTGACTGTGATGAAACCACTCGTCTCATTCATGCAGACTTCTTGAACTTCAATATACATGCAACTGTATGATCAAACTGCTCAAAAGGGAGAACGTTTTAGGGGGAAAAGGGAGATAGTTTTGACGTATCTAAATCTAAAAACACTTAGATGCCCGTTTTGGATAGTTAACTTTTTCATTTTAGAAAGCGCCGATATCGTAGATTATAAACATTGTTAATATCCCTAGTGAGGATCAGGGCCCTCTTAAAAAACAAACTGATACTCAATAACAAGTTACAATATTAGTTATAAGCTACTGAAACTCGTGGCATTTGATTGGCTGATGGCAAATCTGCCATAGAAATTTAGCATTTGTTATTGATAATAAGATTTATGAAATAGGCACCAGGTTCTATACTAACCAAAATATTCTTCTTTCTTTCTCCCCCTCTAACACCTTCCCATACCATCCTACGACTCCTAACATCCTCCGATCATTTGGCTACACCCTCCAACGAATTCGGAAACAGGAGAGATTGGTAGCATCCCTCCGTCGTCGCAGCATGCCTGCTCCCACGAAATCGCCCTCTGACGGCATATCAGAGACAGGCACTGATGAGCTGTCTACCCCCGCCACTGCACAGAAGTCAATCGTGCCCTCAGTGAGTTAAAGGACAACCCCCTTCCCCCCATTCCAGAATTCCGAAACGACATTTCTTCAAGGATGGAAATTTATAGGAAAATATCCATCCAATGTATTTCAAATATTTGTAGGCTCATATACCCACTTAATAGGCCTGTATTTTGATGACTAAAATACTCTTAACAATACATTGTGCCCGTATGCGATAATACTAAAATCCCCCAATACACTCTAACATAAATCTCTGAACAAGATAATCAGAACGACTGTGTTTTGTTGTCCACAAGGAATTTAAGAATCCTTAACAAAGGAGTACAATCCACAAAGGCAATTTCTGTTTGTTTGTTTGTTTGTTTTTGTTGTTTTTTGAGATAGAGGGGGAACTTAAGATTTTATAATTTACTCTCATGAGTAGTAAAAAAATACAAATAAATCTCTTTTCATACGTTGAGGAACAATTGAAATTGCCAAACAAAATGATAATTCGTAGTATATATAGTTTCGACAATTGTTTATCTGCAGTCGTTTGTTTCCCCCTGGATGTCTACAAAAAGTTAACAGTCTGTTAAAGCGATGAATCAGTTGTGATTTAGAAATTAATAGAATACTAATTTAATTCAAGATTATAACTTCATGAAATGAATTCCGAAATTGGTTATGGTTTAAAATAACCAACATAAATAATTACTAGTGATTGTCGACATTACTGCTGTCCAATTTATAGAGATATGAGTTGCAATATGATTCCATTTATCCTCTCAATATTAAACATTCACATTTGATTGTTATATTGATGTAATTTTTGTTTGGATAATAAATTTCAAACTTCAAAACGTTTTTTTTTTTTTTTTTTCTTTCTTTCACTGGGCTCTAGATCGCCTCCGAGGAAGGAAATATGAATAGCGCCCTCAGTAAGAAGAAGTCAGGCAGTGCAGGAAGTGCAGTAACTCATACCGATGTTTGACAATCCAATAACAAAGAAACGACCAAGAAATAAATGGAGAACATGACTGAAGTTATCTCTGACATGCAGACCAACAAAATAATGGCCATGCATGTGTATCATACTTAAATGATTCTCATAGTTCTCACTATCACATTTCTATCAATAACTGCCTAAGCAAAAACTATATATCAATGAAATTAATTTTGTCAATCTTTTTCCCGTTTTTTATAACACAATTAATTAATTATAAAAGGATAAAAAAGTGGACTCTTGATGCTTCATAAAACATTTATTTCAATCACCTAGGTGTAGCTCAATCCGCTATTACAGATCTTTGTTAAGTATACGGGACTTTGCATCTATTTAATTTGACCGTTTGTAGATAATTGTATTGTTTTGCGACGATCTTTAAAGTTATTCAACATAAATATACGTGAACTAGAATAAGAATAAGTATGGTAATTATGAAAATAACGGTGAAGTAACGATAAAGATAATGAATGATGATGATGATGATGGTAATGATGGTAATGATGATGACGGAAATGATGATGATGGAACATTACCTATAATTACACTGTACAAAGTTAAAGTACAAATAACACAGTAGAGCATATGTTCGGTTTTATAAGAAAAACAGTTTATTTCTTATAGATAAAATCACAAGCATTGTATGTAAATTTTGTACATAGTTATATAATATTGACACGATATAGTGTTAGACATGATAATATATTTATTCTAGATATTTATGAATTAAGGCTTAAAAAACCTCATTCCATGCCAAAGTATAAAACGTAAAATGAAAGGGCTAAAATGCACTATCGATATCAAGATGATCCTTAAGAGATCAATAGATATGTCTATCAAACTCTTACACTGTTGTAAATATTCGCTACCGTCTCTCACTTCTTTAAAAAAAGAATGCGTACATTATCGATTATTTGAAGACATTGACTCATAAACGTGAAGTAATATGCCAAGTTGGAAAGTTTTCGGTAGTAAACATGGTAAATTTATGTATTTAACTGGTACTGATGTCATGTACTATTGTTCAAAAAGCAAATGGTGAATAAAGCGAAAAAGGATTATACTCGTAATATATATGTGTAAGTAGTGATGGGGAAATCATAGAAATCAATGTCACGAAGAAAAAAAAATGATGATGCCATAATGGCGATTGATCCGTTTAAAACACGTTTAGCTTTTCAGATTGTATTTTTCCCAAGCGAGCATTATACTTTTCAAGCGATAAGCATTGCAGAAACGTGATACATTTCTTGTTAAAACTATTTCCCCCATATATGCAGAGTTGCCAAGGGCGTTATAAATATAACCCATAAGGGGGGGGGGGGGGGCTTCACAGAATACATCATATTGGGGCAATCCCCTTCTTCTCCCTACTCCCTGCCCGGGTATATTTCCCATATGGGGTAGTAATACTGCATGTCCCTGGTGGTAGTTGTCTTAAATGGAAGTTGCCCTTAGGGTGTATTTTTTGGTGGTAGAATCGAACAGATGATGACCAATTATGCGTTATTTTCCTGTTAACGAAACACGAACATGATGTTGAAATTATACAGACTGCGTATAATTACAAACAAATATATAGACAAGAAACATCGCGTCAGGCATTCCAATTTCCAATAAAGGTATAAATTAGCGTTCCAAAAAGGGGTTTAAAGCTTTTTTAATAGGTGTTTTAGATTACTTTTGATTACAACTGTGATATGAAACGTTTGATTGTATATACCCATTACTTCGTTTGAACTATTTTGACGAGTAATATAATGATATTATTTTGCTTTGTCCTTTATCGGAATACTTCTACTTCTTTATCATGCTGTTTTGCGGATATCAGCGAAAGACAAGATTTTGTGTACATGACTGTCCATGTTTACAGCACATATAAATGCAATCCGAGAGTTTCAAGACTGATTATAATCATGATGATGATGGTGTGGTTACTTGAAATACATGTAGCAAGGTGGATTGTTAAACTGCAATATAAATCATAATTATCACAAATGCGATCATCTTATAAAATATGGATAATCGATACCACTTCAGTCACACCAAAGAATAATTGTCATTTGTAATCATCTTATTTGTCGAGTCCCCACTTTACGAAATTCCTTTGTTCACGTAAACACTACACATGTCGTTTAATTTAAAATATACTTCATCTAGTCATATATGTTATAACATCATAATATGTGTCATATAGTACATAACCCTGATGACGTATCTGATAAAACAAATTCAAAGTGCTGTCTCTCTCCCTCTCTCCCAACATAATATTCTACAAAGCCGTGTAACAAATTGTATGTAACTATTGGTAATACCAAGTAACCATCGTGACAACATTATCATTGAAGGGTTTACATTGATGGAGTGTACACATGGGGACATACAGGTAGTATTAATCACATCTATATGCCTACATTGTAATAGAAAATTTGATGATGAGTAAAAAGGCATTAAGTTTTGCATGAGAAATAAATTTACCTCGAATGAACTGGTTTTCATACAAAAAGCAAAGCGAAGTTGGTTTCAAGCTCAAGAGTTACACATACAAATTATGTTATTATGAGCTTATGAGTGGCGCTTGTAAATAATATATTTGGTATATCAAGATAATTTGTTAAAAATGCATAAACTGCTGTGATATCAAATAAACTTCAGTCTGCAGTAGCTGTTGATCTTACACTCATACATTTGTTCACGATTGGTTCATCCCTATCTGATATATACCTTCTCTTATCCCCATGCAATGTTTTTTTTTTTTTAATATATATCTCTCTCTCTCTCTCTCTTTGTGACTTTTCTCTCACTTTCTCTCTCTCTTATTCACCCCTCCACTTATCTCTCTCTCTTTCTATCTGACTCTTCTCTTTCTATCTGACTCTTCTCTCTCTATTTCTCTCTCCCAGGCTACAACATCCATCACCCCACCACTTATCTCTCTCTCTCTCTCTCTTTCTATCTGACTCTTCTCTTTCTATCTGACTCTTCTCTCTCTATTTCTCTCTCCCAGGCTACAACATCCATCACCCCACCACTTACCTCTCTCTCTCTTTCTCTCTCTCTCTCTCTCTCTTTCTATCTGACTCTTCTCTTTCTATCTGACTCTTCTCTCTCTATTTCTCTCTCCCAGGCTACAACATCCATCACCCCACCACTTATCTCTCCCTCTCTCTCTCTCTCTCTTTCTATCTGACTCTTCTCTTTCTATCTGACTCTTCTCTCTCTATTTCTCTCTCCCAGGCTACAACATCCATCACCCCACCACTTATCTCTCTCTCTCTCTCTCTCTCTTTCTATCTGACTCTTCTCTTTCTATCTTACTCTTCTCTCTCTATTTCTCTCTCTCAGGCTACAACATCCATCACCCCACCACTTATCTCTCTCTCTCTCTCTCTTTCTTTCTATCTGACTCTTCTCTTTCTATCTGACTCTTCTCTCTCTATTTCTCTCTCCCAGGCTACAACATCCATCACCCCACCACTTCTCTCTCTCTCTCTCTCTCTCTCTCTCTCTCTCTCTCTCTTTCTATCTGACTCTTCTCTTTCTATCTGACTCTTCTCTTTCTATCTGACTCTTCTCTCTCTATTTCTCTCTCCCAGGCTACAACATCCATCACCCCACTACTTATCTCTCTCTCTCTCTCTCTTTTGAAAACCCGTCTCCCCTCCACGCCTTTCTTATTTCATTCTCTTTGATTAATGATAATAAGTCGATCACTTACATGAAGTTAGATTTGTCATTGCAATATTGTGGAACAAAATAATTTCAAAAAATAGTAATAGAGATCTAGTGGAAATTATAGAAAAGGCGTGCAAATTATGAACTAAATATGGCAGACAGAGAAAGAGATAAACAGATGGAGCGAGCGAAAGAGAACTTTTAGTGGGATAGAAATAGAAGACTAACACAAAGAAATATTATAACAATGATACAAATGTGTTTTGAAAAGACTTGATAGAAAGTTATTTGGTAAAATTTCGAACGATTAAATTAATACATCTTAGATGAAAACAAAAAAAGCGGGTATTATGACTGCAATAGTATTGCGGTTTACAAAAGAATTCTATTAGCCTACGTTGACATTATTTTGCCTGCAACGTAAAGTTTTAACGAGGAACAGCGCCTCTTACGGGGTCAGAAAAGCTCATTTCGTCTATCGTCCCTGACGTCACGTGACAAATTTCCACCAATCAGATACCACGAGCAAAATATTTCCCGTCATATTTCCAACAGCGTTTGTCGACGTAAACAAATATTATTAAGTCAATGATTCGCCGAGATTAATTTAATCCTTTGAAAAAGAATCAGCTTTCGGTCCTAACTCAGGTCCACTGAAGCTTGTTTAAAAATAAGCAGGACACAAAATTGCAAGGCGCAAAACGCACTTACGTTTATCGATTGTGTCGTATAATTTCATAGTTGGATAAAGCATGTAATACGATGGCACTTCGTAATTGGCTTGGCCGGGTTGTAATTCAATTTACCGTGTTGGATTTGTAGTTTGAAGAGTACCGCCAAGCCAGGTAGCTTTGCCTAAACCCATTGGGACGTAAAATCCTGTTAGGTTGGGGGAAGATAGGATTTTTCGTTATTTTATTTGTCTCCCCCTGGTTTCCCCGGGAGCTGCTAGAGGGTGTAAGGCCATCGTTCGCGTGAAGTGGATGGCCTCACTCAACTTTGACCAACAAAAAATATGAAAAGGTAAATTATTGGTGACTTTGAAGACTTGAGATGAAAAAAGATTTGAAAACAATCCACCCTTGAAATTATTCAATTCGAGAAAAAGTGGACCAAGTTAATTTCTGGCCTGTATGAAAGAAAATTGGGTCAAAGACTTTTAATGTTAATTCCTTGGGACGAAAGAGGGTTAGCGGGAAACCAAATAAAAGTTACTAAAGCTATGAAAAGTGCACCCCTCTCTCTCTCTCTCTCTCTCTCTCTTATTTGCCACTTTCATCTCTCTCTATCTTTTTTTGCCTCTTATATCTCTCTCCCTTTCTCTCTCTATTTGCATCTTTCATTTCACTCTCTCTCTATCTCTCTCTCTGCTTCCAATTCTCTTTACTCTTCTATCTTTCCCTTTCTGTCTTTTTCTCTTTGACATTGTTCGTCTCTGCTCTCCTTCTCTGTCTTAAGCTACCTCTCTCTCCAACTCCCTAATCTACTTCATAACCTTCTACTTCCCTCCTCCTCTTTACACATTCTCCCTGTATATTCCAGCTATTAATATTATATCTCTCTTTTCTCCCTGCCCTCATGTTAATACTTTAACTTTGCACCCATTTTATCTTTTCTCCATTCCTCATTTACCTCTCTCTATTTCACCCAATCTCTCCCTCTCTCTGGTTTACCCCCATGTTTGTTTCTCTACTTCCCTCCGTCTCCCACTTTCCTTTCATTTTGTTCTCCTCTCTATCTTCTTTCACTTTCTTTAGTTCTCTTCCACTTTCCCTTTCCCACAATCGTTGTATCTGTGTTTCTCTCCCATCTTCACCCCTTCGTTGTTTCTCTCTCTCTCTCTCTCTCTCTCTTCCACTCTCTCTCTCTCTCTCTCTCTCTCTCTCTCTATCTCTCTCTCTCAATCTTTCTCTGCTTACCCAATTTTCGCTCTCTTTTACCTGCTCTCCTATATTTCTCTCTCCCTCTTTGTTTCTGCTTCTCCTTTCTTTGTTTCTCTTTCCCCTCACTCTCTTTTAATTTCTTCTGCTTCCCAAACTCTCTTTTTCCGCTCTCCTTCTCTGCCCTATATGTTCTCCTTTGGGATATACCCACCTGCTGACATAGCATTGGCATAGCATAGTCATCCGAATGGACATGAGATGCGAGGAATATAATCTAAATGTAATTGGGAATAAATAGCTGCAAACTACCCAGTTACAAGAGCATTGGTATATTTTTAGGTTGGCACATTTTGTATGCATACATATTACCTTAAAGGTAATACAAAGTTTTGGGAACTTTTGAATATTGGGTGGATAGTGATTCTTTAAATTGTTAATATATTTGGACGCTCCTGTGGATGTATTATAAGTACTAACAAATTTAGGCCCTAAAACACTTCTGCTTCCGAGAAAAAGAAAAATTGAATATACAAATTTACCGGTGCTCCCGGTAAATTTTGATGAATTTCAAATAGCGCCTACGGCCGTACAATGGTACCATGAAAATTTCAGAATATGTTGTTGTGATATATAACTCCCAAACGGGAATAGCTAATCGGTCGATTTTAGCCAAGAAACATTGTTTTATAGCTTAATTAATACCTTGAACTTGAGAGGGAGCTACACAAAATAAAGAGTTTGTTATTTACAATTTCATAACTTTAGACTCGATTTCAACCGCGACAACGATCACTGAATATTGTAGGATCGCATATGCTTCCAATATGTTCATTTGAAAGTTCATGACACTATACCAAAACTTTGTAATATCTTTAATATTGTTAACATGGTAACAGATATTCCACATATCCATATCTGAAACATACACTCATAGGAAGTTTATCATGGGGTCAAGTTCCGAAATACACTCAAGATTAATGCGTACACATCCCAGCGTTTTTTGTCCATCATTGAAATGAAAACAATGATACCGCAAATATTATATGATGTAGAATTTACAATACGGAGTATCCATTATGTTGTTTTTTCTTTAACATGCATTCACATGTTTATGATTTTTTTTCGTATGATAGTATAAAATATCTAACTTGCAATGTAATGTATACTTTAGGCTAAGTGTAATTCATAAGTAGAAAAAAAAAGAAAACCGAGTAATTGCTTCGTTGCTCCGACTATAAAATAACTACACTGTGAAGATATAATGTATCTAATACATGTTACTTATTTAATGCTGATATATGTATTACAACTATTCATTTTTTGACCTATTAGGCAACACGTAGAGATACCCGACCCAATATAATACATTAAATAATAAAAACAAAAACGGGAAGAGAATTCGCGACACTCGGTCGACTGTATTTACATTTCGGATCCTCGGCAACACTCGGATTCTCTTCGGCTTCTTTTTTCGGCGTCTAGTGATGCTCGGGTTGACGTTCGTATAACGCGGTCCGTATGCCGTGTTATTGCGCGCGTTGTTTTGGGCGTTGTTTCGGTGCTGCGGTCTATACGTCAGCGACGTTCGGCGATGACCGCGGTCATTACCGTTGAGAGCGTCCATACCCATGCTGTTCTTCATTTCATCGTCTTCGAGGATGTCGTCTTCGGAATCGACCTGCGAAAGCCGTAGTGCAACCTGAGGGTTGAACTGCTGTAACTGCAGACAATAATAGATTCAAGAGTAGAACATTAGGAAAGACAGCGTGATGTTGAATTATATTGCATTTAACAAGGAAATATCAATAGTCATTTTCGTGTGTGGGGGGAAGCGGGATACTTACGTATCTCATATCAGATCTTAAACCAATTGGTACTGATGAGAGCAAATGTTAAAATATGAATATGAAAGCCTTTAATTCCCCAGGAGACACTATAGCAAATATGAATAAGGTCAATATTACGTGAAGAAAGTGTGTAATTTATTTATATAATTATGTAGAATAGCAGGCGTTTATTTTTTTCTTAAGAAAGGAACTAGCCTATTCTATTTGCATTGCTATCTTAGAATTGAGAAGAAAAAAATCAAAACTAATTGTTTGATTCAGGGCTTTGAGACATAACTTGCTTTATAATTTAATCCACGTATTTCATTTATTTCATAAAACATATTATGTACTCTACAAAAAGCAAAAGTGCAATTTATAGCAATCACTTCTACAAACCTGGTCATATCTTACTTCAGGCGGTTTTTTATTATTGCTGTTCTGCGTGGGGTTGTTCTTGATGCCGTGCGCTTCCTTCACCTTCTTCTTCTGCTCAAGCCAGTAGTTGTAGTTGACGATGGCGTACTCGACCAGGGCCGCGAACACGAAAGAGTAGCAGGTGATGACGTAGATGTCGATTGACTTGACGTAGGAGATCCTGGGCAGCGACTGCCGAACCGCCGTGCTGATGGTGGTCATCGTCAGGACGGTCGTTATACCTGCGGAGTGGTTGGGGGAAGATAAGTTGAGTCGCATCACGAGTATAATTCTACAGTTAAAGATAAGTTGAATTCTGGTCATGCGATTGCATTGTGAAAAAAAAGGTATGGAATGGATCAGAAAAGGTTGATCAACTACATGTAGCATATAAGTATTGGTGTGACTGCAAAGTATAAAAATGATTAGAAATTTAACCCAATCTTGGTAAAGTAACAAGCACTGTTCACAGAAAGATGTATATGGGACTACACATGGTGTCGGGCCCCGACTGACCTTGATTTTCTTATCTTTCTTTGCTCATTACTCAGCCAGTATACATTTTCTACCAAAATTGTTTTGCAAATTACATTTATTTGTAATCTTGAACATTCAGTGTAATTTTCGTTTGATTCTGTGAGAATTCATTTTTTAATTATTTTTTTTACCAGAACTCAAGTTTATCGTTAACCTTTATGAGCCACAGTAGCCCAGTGAAACACTCGCTAATGAGTGACGATCTGCACAAGCAAAAAGAAAACATTAAATTGTAAATATCCAATTAAATATTTAATTTCCCGTACACTTAGGGCTTCAACCCCAGCCACGAATAAATGAGCATATTGTAAGATGTTTCAGAATAGGAGGGGAACAAATTGTAAAAAATCAATGTCACGCCATCCTATAATTAAAAATGCTAATTTTCAGACACATATAATTAACAACACGATTATGATCATAATAGTTAAAACAGTTATAAGTCTAATTTTCTCCGTTATCTTTGTTATCGTTACTGTGATCGCAGAAGTGGTATAAAGACCCAACCACACGGGCAAACAGGATATTCACCCCATGTCTGGACGACAGGACACGTAGACAGTCGCAACGCACTCGATAAAATGACAATAATTGACAAAAGTCGATACCCTTTATAATATCTTTCTATTAATAAAACAGATGATCATCGGATTGTGATGAATACGAAGTCAACGAACTGAAAACTGAAAGAGGAGAGAATGCCATGCCAGACAATCAGATGGAGGAAAAATGAAAGTTAGTCTAGATATGAAGAAGAGGGAGAGAGGATCGAGAGAGGGGTAGGTAGAGTATATCGGGGAGAGAGAGAGAGAGAGAGAGAGAGAGATAGAGAGAGAGAGAGGGGGAATGTAGCTTTAGAGAGAGAGAGAGAGAGAGAGAGAGAGCATTAGAGAGAGAATGAGAGAGAGAGAAAGAGGAGGTAGAATGTTAAAGAAAGATAGAAAGAGAGGGGTATAGCATTAGAGAGAGAGAGAGAGAGAGAGAGAGAGAGAGAGAGAGAAAGAGAGCGGTAGATCACTAGAGAGAGAATGGGAGAGAGGGGTAGGTAGATCATTAGAGAAAGAGAGAGGAGAGAGAGAGAGAGAGAGAGAGAATAAAATAAACAACATACACAAATAAAAGAGAGAGAGAGAGAGAGAGAGAACAAGACAAGGACTGAAATAATACATTGACAGATCATATTCATTACAGCTCATAAAATTGACACATAAATATTGCAATAACTGACTTTTGGCCGAAGCGGCTATCATTACACGCATGGCCAAATGAAATGATATTTCGACTGGATCCGGGCGAACATTAGGCAAGCCAAGCGCAAAAATATGGCCCGCCATTTTTTTTTGATAGAGGTTAGAGAACCTCCGACTAAAGACGTGACAGTAGCCCTATCCTATCAAGGAACTTCTTTCAGACATGACTGAACTGAAGGCCCTTAGGGTTACCTGATTTCCGTAGCTGCCGTTCTTTAATTTCCCGTTTTGCGCCGAGCAGGTGCCAATCGTAATTTTGTGCATATGGGTATTTTGTTTTGTCATACCCCCTATATCGCCTGCCTTCCTCCTCTGTATATCATTTCGATCATCATTACAAGTTTGATGAGGGTATCAACGCGAATGTTTTCTTTTGATTCCCCAGTTGTGTTGGGAAGAGGATTAACCCATATAGTCTCGGCAATACGGTCATTCACTCCTATAGGTTGGCCTTAATCAAAGGGAAATCGAATATAAACAAGGAAGGCAAAACAAGACTTTCAATCTAAACTGTCCTGATCACCGGATGTGCCACGGTGTTATTGACTCGCTGTTATATGGCTTCTAACAAAAAAAAAGAAAGAAAGAAATTTGCACCAAATGTGGTGGAATCATATAAATTAATGATAAGCCTTTTCTACCACATCTACCAAACATGCCAAAGGAATTTGAGAGCAAAATCGAACTAGGGGTTCAATATATATATTTTTTATCATTCAATATCTATCTTTTGATCATCTATATTACATTACGGCGTACTACCATTGGCACAAAATCGTGTTTCATACTGTTTTTAACCTTCATTAACTTGCCAGGGTTGATCCCCACCCCTTCCCTGCTACCTAATAATGTGCATTGTACATTTTACCGACACTCCTGATATTATATCTCAGAATATGAGTCCTCCATTCTTCCTACCTCTGTGGGCACTGTTGTCAAGCTGATCAGCAATTTCAGTGTAGATCTAAGAAGTGAATGACCGTTCAAAGATTCTCTTCGGAACCCTCTCAATGTCGATACAATTATCTTGCCAATTGACTGCAGACCATGCTCACATGAATACATATCTACCCAGTTCCATTTCAGTATTATTCTTCAATTTCCATCCACATTTTCACAATTACCTCTGCGTCCTCCTTTCAAATCATCGAGGCAATTTTGAATGAATCATGAATGAATCGAAATCGTGATAGCCAATCAAATATTATCTAGCACATGGATTCTTGGACTTTGTAGACCCCGTGATCTTTCTGGTGTAGTCACTGCCATTGCTGTTACCTCCCAGACGGAATTTCTGGTCAGCGACCTTAACCCCTGTGATGTAACTATACAAACGGTTTACCCATTACTTGCTTCCCGGAATATTACATTCATTTATGCATTGCTTAAATATTTTGTAGGTAGTGTTAAAGGTGCATGTAGAATGCATTTGTTTTCATGCCATTCTAGTTATAATCCGTCTGTCTGTCGCGCAATGTAAGATTTGGATGCTTAATTCTCTTCGTTGTTTTTTATTAAAAGAGAATTTCTTATTAAAGAAGAAACTAAAAATGTCTGTCGATACACACATACATCTAAGGTTACATTTTCTTTTAAAGTGACGTCAGGATTGCTTTGACCTTCAACTTGACCTTGAGGTGCACTTCAACCCTTCAAGGTTGTGAGATCATTAAATGGCTGAACACGCCTTTCAAGGGGAAAGGATTAAGCAAAGAAATTCATATTTTATGATTTTATAAAATTGGTGTCACGTATCACGTGGATGTACGCGGCCTTGTTTGTTCACTGGACGAACAGCTTAAGAGCAGACGTGAAGAGAATAATTTGTTGCCACCTTTTTCCTGCGCTTAATCTGTGAAGATGTTACGATCGGAAGGGCAATCGATTAGATCAAGGTGATCGGTGATAATGTTTCGCATTAGCCAAAATGAAGTGACTGAAAAGTACAGTAAAGAAGTAGCATTATTTATTTTAATACTGAAAGACTGAAGACTCAAATACTAAAATGATTTGTAGAGTCCAGTGGGTGAAGTTTTGTAGGTTATCACATAAGTCACATGAATTAAAAGATATCGTTTTTGGTATATAGGAAAAATGTTTATCATCGCACCAAGTGAAAATTAATCATGGCTGGTTCAAATTGATATCAATTTTTGAAATCTGTTTTTAAGGCTGTAAGAACAAGTAATGACAGATATAACACGCAATGTGCACATCTAAACAACCCTTGACTCCAAATATTCGCTATAAGTCACGTTAGCAGTATTTCGTTTTGACTAAGTAGTCCACACTCTAAAAACTGAAATGTTAAATCACCATTTAAAATGACCGAGGAGTGACCACTCTTTCAAAATGGTAGATTAACACTTTGAACATGCTGTATCCAACACTATAAAGGTTGAATCTAGCAGGTTAAAAGAAAGAATCTGACATTTTGAAAGAGTGGTCACTCCTCGGCCCTTTTAAATTGACATTTAACATATCAGTTTTTAGAGTGCATACTTTTAGTTTAGTATCGTAAAAGCTGTATATTCCTTATTTAAAGTAGCTTTAAATGTCTGCATATGGTTTATACTAGCCTCCATATGACCAAAGGGTATATCTACGTCTCCATTGTATAATTATTCCTTTAAAAAAGTAAACATTCGAAGAAATAAGAATAATGACAAATTGTGAACGGGCAGATTTAAACATGGAATACATGGAACTTAGCACATCTAATTCCCGTCTAATTTATCCGGTTGAATAATGCATGTAGATACAGTGGTAACGGGAAAAAAACAGTAAACATGAGGATCCCTAAGATCCGAGTAACTGATACCGTTCAACCAATTTTGTTTTAAATAGGGGTTCCCCCCGTTGGCCGTGAAACCACATACACAAATAATGGAAGTAGCGTCCCATAGGATGTGAACAATGTGATAACATGTTGTTATATGGCTACATATCGCATGAATACCGTCAAACACTACTTAAGTAAACTTTTTTTTTCTGTCAGGACAAAATTTTCTCTAAACAACTATAATTTCTTTTCAAAACTCAAATGACTACAATGATAATTGTTTTTCTCATGAATGTATATTGTTTTAAAAACATTTTGTTTGCATTGTAGTAGTTTTCTTTTTGTTTGTGGCAAAAGCTATCATGTCGACAATTGTGAATATTCTGTTTTGAGTGGAAAAAGGAAAGAAAAAAAAACAAATTATTGTCCTAAATCCTCTGTGTAAACACACTGTGAAACAAGCACACAACGAATCTCAACATGCTCGCTGTAGCCACCGTGTACTACAGTAAAGATGAAATGAAAACATTGCGAAATTTTCCTGAAATCAAGATTAAGTTTAAATATCTTTACATGTAGATGGTCATATCAAGAAGCTTAGAGAGAAAGAGGGAGAGAGAGAGTAAGATATCCTTGTTCAAACTCTGATAATCAATGTTCATAACGCCATTCTTGTTGCGGCCCAGTGTGGACAAAATGAGTCAACATCATTTTCACAGTATTAACATTTTGGAATCGTTCATTTAGAGAAATATACGTGCATATGTGCAAATCGGCATGATAGCTATGGCCAGAGTTGACAAGTGTGAACACTTTGTCAACAAGACTGTTTAGACGTCGTCAAACTGTGAATGGATCAAAGTCTTCTATAAAGTCATTTCAATGTGATCACATCGCAACATTTTTACTGTGGCCACAGTGGGGTAACATCATATCACATTGAGAGTATTGATGAGTATCATAAAGTTTGTTCAAAGTTGCCAACACTAAACTAATCATCAACATTAATAGGGAAGCGTACAAAATACCCCAATTTCGCTCAATTTGATGTTAACACATCACAATTCTTGCGATGACCACAGTCCATTACCATGTTTATAAAGCCAAAATTACTAATCAAAGACGGTGTATTCACACTGGCCACATTTGTAGAATGATCAAACCATTTTCTGCGGTCATGCTATGGTGTATGTGATGCTACGATCCTTCCGAGGGGACAGGCCGCGTTATCTCGAGTTGAAACACAGGACAATGGGATGGTTCTAGAATGACATCACTTGAGAGTCCTTGACAGTTCGAGTGGATGGCCTGCCCTCTTTAACAGATACATTTATGTCTGAATCCTATTCTGATTTTCAGGTCATCCTTATCATTGATACCCCTTTCACGGTAATGTCTGAACACTTGACCCGGTTGACATAAATTTATCATGTAACCTTGATCTCGTATGGAGAATTGAGAGGTTACAGCCTAAGACTGCTGTTTCCTTTTACAGATACAAGATTAAAGTGGTTGAATCGGAAAAAACATGATAACGGACTTTTCCCAAAAAGTTGAAAGCCACGGAATTACAGTCTTTATTATGCGCCACAATGTAAATACATAGCACATTTGAAAACATGTGAACACGCCATGCTAACACCTTATTCACACTGCATCCACACCGTTTCAAAACTGTGGAACACCTTTTTGCACTAGTTACATACTGTTTTCAAACTATTCCAAAGCCATTTCCACAGAACACAGTTTTCTTCCAAGCCCATGTCTCCACACGAAATTCACAATATCGTTTCTGCATTCTTTCAACAGTTTCCACACTATTTTACTGTGTGTCCGCATAATACAGTAAATGTCCACATAATGTTCACACTGTCTCCACCCTAGTTGTTTACTGTATCTTAAATGATTCCACCCGGTCCTACATGTTGTCACACAGGTTTTACACTGTGAAACAGTTTCCACACTGTGTTCTTCAAGAAAATTAGATGGATATTTCCTTTTAGCCTGCTGGTCCTCCTTAACCCAGTGAAACCCAGACTGATGTGGATTCATGGTTGATTAAGAAAATTACACAGGACAGCAAGTCGAGTAAGATGATGATCAAATACTCCATCCCCATACTGTATTACACTATATTTATACTCTGTATTTTATCTATTTGACATAGAACCCTTTTCATATTGTGGAACACCGTGTTGTTTCAGGAAAATGCAGTGGTCATAATGGTACCCCCCTTAAAACCTGCTGGACCGTTCTTACCAGGTAGAACCCTGGCTGATGTTGCTCCATGGTTGATTCAGAAATACACCCAAGACAACATGACGAGTAAGAAAGAAGGAAGGTATATCTTGAGGAATAACAAACCAACGCTCCGCTTGACTCCACAGTTAATATTAACTGTTTCCACACCACTTTAACATTGCTCCACAACATATCTACACTATTTCCACACTTCTTCCGAACAATTTCTCACTCTGTGTCCACACTATTTCACCCTATTTTAACACTCTCTTTTCACACGGCATGGACAATGTCCTTCCGCTGTGGGAACACAACGTTCTTTGCAACAGACGTTCCTTGATAACTTGTTGACTCTTCCTTACCCAGTGACACCCTAGCGGACGTTGCTTCATGGTTGATCCAGAAGGACATTTAGGACAACATGACGAATAAGATGGACGGACGGTGGATGAATAACAAGTCAACTGTTTCCACACCAGTTAACTTTGTTCCACAACATATCTACACGATTCCACACTATGACCACACTACTTCCACACAAGTTCTCTCTGTGTGTCCACACTATTTTTCACCCTATTTCAACACTCTCTATTCACACCTCATGGACAATGTCCTTCTCCTGTGGAACACATCGCTCTGTGCAATAGACGTTCCTTGATAACTGTAAACTGTTTCACAAAGCCTTTTTTCAATGACAAATTACAAAAACCAGTGACAAATCTGCTGATAACCAATCGGAAGCAAGGATTTCAGTAGCTTATAAAACAAGCTGTCATTTGTCACTGATGACAAGTTTTGGTTGACTCTTCCTTACCCAGTGAAACCCTGGCTGATGTTGCTTCATGGTTGATCCAGAAGGACACCCAGGACAACATGACGAGTAAGATGGATGGAAGGTAGGTCTGAAGGAAGAAGAAACCCACATTTCGCTTGATCCTAAACGTCAACGCCAGTCGAGGATATGAACCTGAAGAAGACAAGAATAATTGAGATGGTTATTTTACCTGACAGCTAAGAAAGCAATAAATGCTTGTTAGTAAGCAACCAGAAGACCGACGGCTTTAGGTCCTCTCCGAGAGACCTGGTAATAAGGATTAATGTCTTACCAAAGGGCACTAGCGCATCGCCTTGGTTTCGAACCCTGGTCACCGGATTACGAGACCACTGCTCTACCAACTGAGCTATCGCGCCTGAATGCAAGGTTCTGAGACAAGCATGCTATGAATAACATTTTTATTTCTTTTGTTGGTAAATAATAATGACAGATTCCACGCGCCGTTTCATCTTCAAAGGAAATGGTATAGCAACAGATATAAGTGTGGGTTAGACACTGGCATCACATACTTCATAGTTGTAAGCGCTTTGGGCCTTATGGGGAAAAGCGCGGTATAAGTAACAAGTAATAATGATAATAATAACAATAAGCATAAAGACAAATGTATAATGAAAATTGGTTCACTTGATCCTGTAGAAATCTGCCAACTTATGAGAAAACGTAAACGATTCACAATCAAATCAACTTAGAATTGTATTAGATTTGTTTGCATTGCAAGAACCCTATAACAGAACTAGCAAAACTAAGCAAAACAAGACAACACATGTCTGTGATATAATTGCCATATCAATTCGAAGTAATACAATAAATTGCCAATATCGAAGGAAATACCTTTCAATTACGAAACCTGAAACCCACGCTGAAAAGTCGATTTCACAAAATTGATGATGATATTTGGGAATGATTAGGACATGGGAATTTTCACGGGGATATTATAAAAGCAATGAGATGCCTTCAAGACCCTGGATAAAAAATAAATACGATATCAGAAATCCGGGTGCTCCCTACTCCAGGCCCCCTGCTTTTGGTCGTCTCGGTAATTCTTCTCCATCCACAAGTACGTGATCGCTGTAAATGGAAACTTTCGAGAGAGAGAGAGAGAGAGAGAGAGACTCGCGGAGAAAGATGTGCAAAGAGCGTTTGCACACACAATAAAGGTGCGAAAAGAATATGAAAAGAAAGACGCCGCCCTCCCATCTCTCCCTCTCAGGATTATTGATTGAGGAGTTTTCTTCTTGTTGTCTCCATGTGCGCAGGAATGTTTGAGGGGAATAGAGAAATTGTCACGGAGCGAGAGTCCCAAGAGGAGAAGGGGGAGTATTTGTCTAAGTTTTCTGCGAGGAGAGACCGCGTCAGCAGCAGCCGGCATACCGTCATGACAGTCGACTTCGAAAGTAGCTGCCAAACCAGAAACACCGCCACCGCAAGATGTGCGAGGGTCCCATGGGTGGAGGGTCCCATGGGGGTAAGGGAAGGTGGTGGTGGTGGTAGATGGAAGATGAGGGAAAGTTTGGTGGCTTTTTATTAATGAGAGCAGGGTCAAAAAATGATTGAAGTCATGAGGCACAATGGGGTACCTGGATGAAGAGTCATTACAGGTTGTTCTGGGGGAAAAATCGTTCGATTAATAACTTCTATTTGATTTCCCCCTTGGTAACACAAATTGCATGTGTTTAAATTACGATTATTTTAATTCAACTACTGCTAGACTCCTAGTGTTGTGTAGTACTCAGGCAGCTCTGTTTGCTTCTGCTACAAATCCTCCTGAAATCACTCTTGTTTCCTATATGTTACGACATCTACTCGATTTCTATTTTATTATTGTTGTTACTAATTGCACTTCTTGTCCTGATACCCATTTCAACTAATCTTAAGACACACGTACATCATCTGGACTATGATTATTGATATAACCATTAATATTCTTTCTGTTGTTGAAAGTATACTACTACTACCACTACTACTATTACTACTACTACTACTACTACTAACACTAACACTACTATTATGACTACTACTACTGCTACTACTACTACTACTACTACTACTACTACCACTACTACTATTACTACTACTACTACCACTACTACTACTACTACTACTACTACTACTACTACTACTACTACTTCTATTATTACTACTCCTATTACTAATACTGCTGCTACTACTATACTTCTACTACTATTACTACTACTACTACTACTACTACTACTACTACTACTACTACTACTACTAATACTAATACTAATACTGCTGTTACCACTACTACTAGTTATTATCCTTCTTCTGTCTACTACTACTACTACTTCTACTACTACTACTTCTACTACTTCTACCTTTGCTACTATAACTAGTTCTTCTTCTCCTTCTTCCTTCGTTGTCTACCGCTATAACTTCTACCACTTAAATACCACTACGACTACAGATACGACTACTTCCACAGCCGCTGCTGATACAACTAAAGCTACTTCTTCGATTTGTACTAACGTAACTTTTCTCACAACTACGCCCCCAAAAATGTCATTGGTACTCTTTCGGCATGTTTGGCTCACTGAGTTTCCTTGACTCGGTTTGATGTCAATTCATGTTGATGTACATAATGACTTTATCAGTCAGTCGCACTCGGTGTTACACCTAAACATTTCTTCTAAATGCCGGATGCCAGTGCCAATTCACAAATCTAGCCTGATGGTGCCGTTAACACGTAAGGGGTGGCTGCACATGATAGCGGAATGCCTCCACCATCACATACTGCATTCCATGTTAGCGTCATGTGGGTCCCTGTGTTTGGATGCCATTACGTAGAATGTAGTTGAAAAGAGTCAGGATCACTCGGCAAAAGCAGAACGCAGTAAGACGGGATTCCTTGGGTCATGATTTACACAACTGTTCCTCAACGAAATCTATTTTCACCTGTGTTGACACCTCTAGTGTGTCAACGCATACTGGAATCATTTACCTTTCTTCCCGCACGTACCGCCCCATGTATTTCAACGTACACCCTTTACACTGGTGCTATTAAACTGTTCATACTTTAGGTATGAAGGCCGTATATGGCAAAACTGGGTTACTTAAAAAGAAAATCTTAATGTGTCTGAATCGTAGGCAAAGAGCGTCGTTGTTTTTATTGGTATTGCCCTAATATTTATAAAGCAAACGTTTTAAGGACAGCTCGAGGAGCTTTACATGATATCTGTACTCGTAGATTTGAAAGGAAAGAAATCTATAGATCTCTTTAATGTTCACATATCACATTTTAATAAAATGCCACCATTCTGCTCCGACTCCTTCTTTTAATACAAACAATAACTTTTTTCAGATATGGATCATGGGCAAGGTTATGAAATAGAACACAACAAATAGACCATTATGACGTGATTGATACGGTTTAAATTGTTCTTCCACTTTGTATGCTTCATGCATTCCAATTTCACGCAATATGTCACGAACCATTAATGACATTGATGGGATCATTACAAAAGGATTATCATCTATGAAATGTGACGATGCGTGTCTCAAAAAACGTCACGGTTAGATATAGCCCGGAAATAGGATCAAGAAAGTACAGTCAACGGAATAATGAATAATTTCAATCATCGTAGTCTGACATAATTTCTTTTAAAGAAGAAAATAAAAAAAGGTACAACCCACTCATTTAAATGAGAGCGGCTTGTGGCAGTTCTTGCCCTACTTGAAAAATTGTATCATCCATTTAGAAAATGAAAGGATTTTAGCTTTGGGGTATTTGACTGGATTTGACTGGATGAAACGTTCTAGCAAGGTGACAGTACCGTTTATAGTTCCGTTCCGACGTTTTTCATATAATAACTATTAGACACTGTAATGCCGTAAGCTTGTTTATGCATGTCGATGTGTTAGTCCAAATTATTAGTCCAAAAGCATTTTGCCTTTTGATCGTCTTTGCAAAACACTGTTAAAAATGTATTTATGCGTTGACTCGTGGATACTTTTGTCAATATTTTATGTAGACAAATGCAAAGGCTTACATCCATTGTAGAGTGAGAAGACGAATATGGGATTTTAAGCCGGTGGCTGAGATTACACTTTTACTAAACGAAATTATTTTACCATGCATTAGGTCATAACATCTTAAGGGTATGTAGTTTATCTCTGGTGTCGGAAGCATCGACCACAAGAAATGACTTTAAACAATAAGTTGAACACGAAGTGTATCAGTATTCTCACATTAAGTAATATATAGGACAGCCCCCATGGTGTTAAATTTATCTTACCCTGTTTTTTTCTTCTTCTTTTCACCTCAAACTCAAGCTTCAATTTACCCTTCTACAGCAGCAGAAAACGTCCCATGCACTGGCGGACTGTGTGTGTGTGTGTGTGTGTGTGGGGAGGGGGGGGGGGTGGACGGGTACCAAGTCAATGCCCCTTTTAAGCTTTTATAGCCAACTTGGTATATATTGTTAATAAAGCAACATGAATTGTCCCCCTTCAAATTGTTGACCCCCCAAACGCACTTAAATAATATTAACCGTCTTTTAAAAAAATAAATCTGCTTGTCAGATCTTCTTTTTCCGGAACTACGCCCCCTTCCTTTTGTCAAATCCGGAATCTGCCCCTGACGCCCACTCTCTGTCTGATACCATATAATACAAATCGTGTCAGCAAAATCTTCTTGGTCACACACCTTCAGGGCTAGCTCTCTGAATGATGCCCTCTACTTTAGCTTGAGTGGTGGTCAAGATGGGGGTGATGGGATTAACTAGGTCGATGGCATTGGCTTACTTTTTTTGCGGCACTTGATCTTTTTGTTAGTTCATTCATTTTGTCTTTCTGCAGACGATGCCTACACACAGAGTCGTTTCACTTTCGTATTTTGTTATCCTCAAATGTCGTGTTTGCAAGTCTCCGAAAAATGTAGGCATGGTTTTAAAAAGATTATGCAGTATTCAGGGATTTTTCACTCTTTGGTTTACAATTAGTTGTCCTAAACATTACCATAATATATGATTATTTCATGCCAATAAAAATGATTTTAAAGACATTTTTATAGAAATGAGGCATTACAACAAGTACGCAAGATCGGCTCTAATCTGAACTTGCAGCAGTCCTTAAAGCGGGACTGCACTACTTGTAGATATTTGCGCCCTCTATAG